TAAGGCAAAAACAACTGCTAAAAGCTCCTTTTCGGTGGTTGAATAGTTCAATTGAGCTCCGTTCAAGGCTCGAGATGCGTAGTAGATAGCATGAGATGCCTTTTCTACTTTTTGACCCAATACCGCACCCACTGCATAGTCGCTGGCGTCACACATGATTTCGAATGGGAGGTTCCAGTCAGGGGGTTGGATAATAGGTGAGGTGGTCAATAACTCCTTTAACTTATTGAATGCCCCCTTACATGTTTCATCAAATTCGAAGGATACATCTTTTTGCAAAAGTTGGAACAAGGGTGCTCCAATTTTCGAGAAGTCCTTGATGAACCTTCTATAGAAACTTGCGTGACCCAAGAAAGAACGAACTTCCCGCACACTCGCGGGGTAAGGTAAAGTAGATATAACATCTATTTTTGCCTTATCAACCTCAATACCTGTAGATGATACAACATGACCCAAAACTATCCCGTGTTCAACCATAAAATGACATTTTTCCCAATTAAGCACGAGATTAGTTTCTATACACCTTACTAAAATCAATTTCAGGTTATCTAGACAGTTTTCAAAACTTTCACCATATACACTGAAATCGTCCATGAAAACCTCAATACTCTTCTCAACATATTCTGAAAAGATACTTACCATGCATCTTTGGAAGGTAGCAGGTGCATTGCACAATCCAAATGGCATCCTTCGGTATGCAAATGTTCCAAACGGGCAGGTGAAAGTAGTCTTTTCTTAGTCCTCGGGTGCGATGGCAATTTGAAAATAACCTGAAAATCCATCCAAGAAACAATAGTAAGCTCGACATGCTAATCGTTCCACCATTTGGTCAATGAAAGGGAGGGGGAAATGGTCCTTTTTCGTGACGGCATTTAGCTTTCGGTAATCGATACACTGTCGCCATCCGGTGGGCTTTCGAATTGGTACGAGCTCACCCTCTTGGTTTGATTCTACCGTCACCCCTGCATTCTTCGGGACCACCTGTACTGGACTTACCCACGGGTTATCTGATATTGCAAATATAATTCCAACGTCCAGCAGTTTTAAAATCTCTTTCTTTACGACCTCCATCATGAGAGGATTTAATCTTCGTTGAGCTTGCCGTACGGGTTTAGCATTTTCTTCGAGTCGAATTCGGTGCATACACACCGCGGGGCTAATTCCCTTGATGTCGGCGATGGTCCATCCTATCGCCTGCTTATGTTCCCTAAGAACTCGAAGTAGTTTCTCTTCTTGAACCTTTGATAAACCCGCGGAGATGATCACTGGAAGTGTCTCCCCTTCACCCAAGTATACATACTTCAGGTGTTTCGGCAGCGGTTTCAGTTCCAAGACAGGTGCCTGCACCACAGATAGAAGTAACCTTTTGTGAGGTTCAGGTATAAAAATGGGTGCGAGGTCATACCTTGTTTTCGTGGTTGGTAACGTTTGCAACGATCCAATCACGCATTTAAACTCTTCACTCAACTCTACTCCAGAGGTCGTTTCGGACTCGAAGTGCCTGGTCAGAACGACCTCTAGCTCATCCCTGCCTTCAATTTCAAAAATCTCCTGTATAGCAGGGTCAATAACATTTACCGAAAAAACAGAGCCAACATTTGATTCGGATGGATATTTCATGGTCTCAAAGATGTTAAAGTGAACAATCTCACCATCAAATTCCATAGACAAAGTACCCTTATTAACATCAATTTTGGTTCGGGCTGTGCTCAAAAAGGGTCTACCTAACAACAAAGGTGACGGATCACGGGAGTGTTCATCCTCCATGTCGAGCACATAAAAATCAGCTGAAAAAACCAATTCGTTAATTTTTATCAAAACATTTTCAATCAACCCGTCAGGGTATGCATTGGTCCTGTCAGCTAATTGGATTATTATCCCAGTCTCTTTCAAAGGGCCTAAGTTTAAGGAAGCATAAATTGACTTTGGCATGACATTAATTGAGGCTCCCAGGTCTAACATGGCCTTTCCAATCAAAGTATTACCTATCCTACAAGGAATAGTAAACATACCTGGATCTCCGTATTTTGGTGGAAATTTCCTTTGTAGAATTGCTGAAACATTCTCCCCAACTATAACTCGTTCATCCCCCTTCAACCGCTTGCGGTTGGCACACAGGTCCCTCAAAAATTTTGCGTACCTGGGTACTTGTTTAATCGCATCCAGCAGGGGTATGTTGATTTTCACCTTGCGAAAGATCTCCAAGACCTCTTTTTCCTTGTCTTGCTTCTTTGGTTTCTCTAACCTGCTAGGAAAGGGAGGTGGATTAGTTTTAGTTGTAGGAATTGGGTTCGAGGGTACCTTTGCATTTTTGTTGTCTCTGCCCACCTCTTCCAATTCTTTCTCAATCCGTTCCTCGTCCTTGTCTTTAGGAATCACCGGTTCGGGTCCTTGAACTTCCTTGCCATTCCTTAAGGTCATTGCACTTACATTCTTTGGATTCGCCTCAGGTTGAGATGGCAACTTCCCTTGAACTTGGGACTCCAGACGGTTGATCGTTATGGCCATTTGATTCATTTGATTTTGCAATGATTGCACCTGTCCCAATTGATTTCTCATGCTTTGCAGGTCTGAATCCGTCTTTTGTTGGTTAGCAAGTAATTGCTTCATCATCTCTTCCATGGACGGATTTGAGTTTGAAGGGGGTGGTGGTGGTGGTGGCCGAGGATGGTACTGCTGTTGGTGTCCTTGCTGTTTATTTGGCACAAAGTTAAACTGCCTATTTCCTCCATAGCTAAGGTTGGGGTGATCCCTCCAACCAGGATTGTAGGTGTTGAGTACGGGTCGTACTGCTTTCTTGGCGCGGGCACGTGGCCAGCCATGTTCACCTGTTCTGCAGTTTTTTCTTGAACCAGTGGACACATTTTCGTAGGATGACCCACGGCAGTGCACACCCCACACACTTTGGCTTGTGAAGCACTCCCCACAGCTAATTGTCTTACGAAAGATGTTAATTCGGAGATCTGCTGTTGGATAGAGGACGTTTCCACCTCATTCACCCTACGCGTCGGGATGTCCTCTCTTGAACCAAACTACTGTGAGTTCTCAGCCATCCCTTCAATCAACTCCCATGCTCCTCGAGGGGTTTTGTTCACCAACGCCCCTCCACTTGCAGCATCGATTATGCTTCTGTCCCTGAAAAGTAACCCCTCATAGAAATATTGAATGGGCAGTTGCTCACTTATCTGATGCTGAGGGCATTTCGTGCACAGTTTCTTAAATCTCTCCCAGTACTCATAGAGAGATTCGCTTGGGTGTTGTTTGATACCACATATCTCCTTCCTTAGGCTCGCAGCTCGAGATGCCGGAAAGTACTTGTCCAAGAATTTTTTCTTCAGTTGATCCCACGTGGTGATACTACCAGGCGGTAGGTAGTAGAGCCAGTCTTTTGCGGAGTCCTTCAAAGAGAAGGGGAAGGCCCTCATCTTTATTTGCTCTTCTGTAATTCCCGGGGGCTTCATGCTGTTGCAAACGACGTCGAACTCTTGCAAGTGCTTGTAGGGCTCCTCACCTGGTAGACCATGAAAAGATGGCAAGAGATGAATTAGACCAGATTTTAGTTCAAAGGGAGTGTCATCATTTAAATGTGGAAAAGTAATGCACAAGGGCTGCTGATTTAAATCAGGAGCAGCCAACTCCCTTAGTGTTCGTGCATTTGCCATAGTGACTTCCTCTTGGTCTGAATCACTTGAATTGTCACCTGAATTGTCACCAGACAAATTTGTCGGCTCAACCTCTGGATCAAGTTCTTGAGGTGCAATATCGTATTGCTCCTCCCTGAGCCGCCTGGTTTCTTTTCTCATTCTACGCGCGGTCTTCTCTACTTCAGGGTCGAAAATTAATTCGCCTGTACGAGAAGAGCGAGGCATAAACTAGAAAAATATCAGAAAATTAGAACAAAAATAAACTTAAAAAGAAACAAATAATTAACGCCAGTCCCCGGCAACGGCGCCAAAAATTGACAGGTGTCGTGCCTGTGCAATAATAAATACCTGCTTAAGAAAAATAAATTTTCTGTGTATAGTAGTAAGCAGGGTCGAATCCACAGGGACTGGAAAAAATTTGATTCTTTTTAAATTCGAGACATGGGGAAATTTTATCAAAATGAAATTAAAAATAAATAATTAAACAATTTAACTAAAAATAATTAACCAAAAATAAATAATTAATTAATACAATTGTAAATAGCAATTAAATAAATGATAAATAAATTCTAGCCAAGGATACAACTACGTAGACACAGTCCATTCATCCGATCATTGATGCAAAGAAAGTTCACTTAATTTTATTAACAGGTTAGTTATAGTCGCCGATAAGCTCTAACGACCAGGTTTTCCTTAATTTATTGATAACCAAGGTACGACCGTTGATTACCCCTAATCAGGAAATACTCCTAGGTACGACCGCAGGAATTAATTTCCTAATTGCATTAAAAACTAGAAAAGCCTAACCCAAATTAATAACACTCTACGAGGGTTATTTAAATCAGATTGCATGTTCCCCTAGTATGTGAAAATACTAGTTGTCACTAATATTAACCAACTAAACAATTACGGATTTAATTGATTAATTTGACAAGAGATTAAGAAGTCAAATTGCACATCGGGCCCTTGATATCCAATTAACAAAATAATCCCATGGAAATTAAAATAGAAAACATGCAAATATTAATAAATTAAGGAACACGTAAAATTAATTAGATCTCACAGATATTTGGGACTGCGTCTTCGCATTGATCCTTGACTAGAGAAGAAAATTAGCCGCGCCTCATAAGAAAATTCCCACGCAATTCAATTGAATTGGAAGACATAAATAACTCTTGCTAGTAACTGAAAATGAAAATTTGATTCTCCGTAATCTAATGCAATAGAACTAGTTTCATGGAAGAAACTAGTTGAGTGAAAGAGACCGAAGAAACATAAAACAAACTTCTGAAGAAAACTTCACACCCAAAATCCAACAAACCAATCAACTACCTATTCTACCTACGGAGCCTCTTGGAGAGAAAACTAAAAACTAGTCTAATGTCTTCTGCCATCGTCCGATATATATAAGGCAAGCCTTTAGTCTTCATAGCTTTTTCATAGTCTTTTCTCCTTGAGCCCACTAATCTAGTGCCTTCTTATTTTATTGGAGCACTAGTCTCTTAAGGGACTAGCTACGTAGGGAGCAATTGGAAAAGTAATCTCCTGATCAAATGCCAGCCATAGCTAATCAATTACATCTCCCAAAAGAGGAACCAAATGTCTAAAGCAATTCCTCAACTTTCTACGTGGTCCCCGCTTTGATTTCTTATTGCTAGTGGATTTCATCATATCAATTCAATTCTTCATCAGCAATTCCGTTGGTTTGCACAATTTGGGCTGATTGTGGAAAGCTTTTAGAAGCTTTCTCGTGTGGAGAAATCTTCTCAAGAATGTCCCCTTCTTAGCATTTTTCTGCTCCATTTTCTGAAATTATATCCAAATACCAAATATAAATATATATTGACAATTAAAACAATATTTGGCAAGAATAAAGAGGAGAATTAACGATAAAATTACTAACAATTAATACCCTATCACCAGGCAACGATTTAATCTTTAACTAAAATGAAAAAGTTTTACTTGGTTGTAGTGTTTTAAAGGAGGGATTGGTGTCTTCATAATCTGAGCTGAAGCGTCTTCTCGCTTCTTGAAGTGATAGGTAATAGGGAAGAAGTATGTATGTATATTCCTCGTAAAGTTGAACTATAACTATGACTAACATAATTAAATTTGGACGAAAATGCACTTAAAAAATTGTTGAATTTGTTACATATTCTTTTTCTTTTCTTCATATGCATTTTAAGATGGTAATATTTCCAATCATTGTGTTTGCAACCATGCGTCAACGATTTTAAGTTATAAAAGCCGTTTGTTGCGTCAACCATGCATTTTCCTTTTTTAATGTTTTTCTTACTGTTTCATTAGTTTTTATAGTTTCCTTATTAGATGATCAAGAAACGTGGGGGAAATATGGGGAAAATGTGAGCATGATTATAGGATTTGTAATATATTCAATAACTTGATACTCAAATCACCGATGAGGTAAAGTTTGCCTAAATAAGCTTTACAGTGCCCTAATTCCTTGCAAAAAAAAAATGCTAAATAGTCCTAATTGGTATCGCAAGTTACAACAACGTGCCAGTGGCATCTAGGCATAACTTTTTTTGGGTCAAAATCTAGTTCTAATTGGTTCTGCCGTTTCTTGATCATGTTGTATGCTCCCGAATTAAAATTGTATTAAAAATAACATGTGAATGAGCATTTGTCTTTAATTAAGGAGTAAAAAGGATTTAAAGTATAAATAAATACAAAAGTATAAAAAGGATTTAAAGTATAAATATATTTAACGATTTATGAAGTAGATTATGAGAAAGTTTTAAATTTTAAATTTGACTGGTGATAGGGTTGGTTATAACCCACTACTTTTTATGTATTAAAATAATACAAAAATCCATAACCCACACCCACTACTTGTCCCGTTCTTGGGATTTTTTTAGGGTTAAATATAGTAAGCCCCTTAACTTTACATTTAGCTGCACTTTACCCCCCTCAACTTTACATTTAGTTGCACATTTGTGATTTTTTTGAAAAGTGATTGTAATTTGCAATGCTCATTTGTAGGGGTGGTTATAGGGTTAGTTTGGTGATAAATATTTCTTAATTATAAAAATGTAACATTGTATTAAAATAGTATACGAATGAGCATTTGTCTTTAATTAAGGAGTAAAAAGGATTTAAAGTATAAATAACAAACTATAAACGGGTTATGAAGTAGATAGTGGAAATGTTTTAAATTTTAAATTTGACTGGTGATAAGGTTGGTTATAACCCACTACTTTTTATGTATTAAAATAAATACAAAAATCTAGAAAAAAGAATGATAAGTTTGGAAGCTATGAGAGGGTTTCTGCTAAAAACCTCTTCTGCAATACATATAGATATAGATATAGATTGTAACGTCAATAGCCCTCCTTAAATAGTGATGTAACGCAAGTAAAATTACCCTTGAGCTCGCAAAACTTTCTTAAATTTGGAAACAATTTTTAGATGAGATAACATAGACAACTTTAATCAATAAAATTTTTCTATTTTCTTCAACAGAGAAGTATTGCTATCTTTCACTAACATTAATTGAAAAGATTTTCTATTTTCTATTAGAAAAGAAATTGACTAAGATACATCATCAACAGCATCAACAAAATTTAACGACTGCCAATTTAAAATTGTTGCTACAATGAGAAATACCAAAAAAAAAAGAGGAAATAATGATAACTCACACAGGATTTTCTTCTAGTAATACTATGTAAAAGGGTTTCATCAAAACCACTTTGATCTATTTAATATTATAATTGCAGATAAATATTAAGATGATGTTGGTTTCCAATCTAACAGTTACGTAATTATATGATGTCAATCTGAAAGGATTAAATGTCTAACAAATGAGATCATATTAAGATAAGATAAAATAACATAAAAAAAAAAGGTTAGATGATCAAATTCCCAATATATCTGAAAATTTGCATTAGTTATGGAAAGGGAGAAAGTCAAATTTAAGTTATTTTAGAGTTTTAGACTGCATGGCATATTATAGAGCCCATGCTCTAAAAAAAAAAAAAAAAAAAAAAGATTTGGGACCTAGACCACTGAAACCGGTATCATGATTTTCCATGAATTGTTGAAATAATAAATCAGAAGAATCTAGTTTTTTTTTTTTCTTAAGTGAAATCTTATCAGTTTTGGGAGCTTAAGTTTGGATTGTGGAGGTGTGTTAGCATGAGCTCGTACACATACATGTTATACATAATATACGTTTCAAATCTAATGCATCCACATATATATTTTGACAAGTATTATGCCGCAACTGATATTATAATGCGAGCACAAATTTCTTACATGACATGACAAATTATCCATTGAATGTGAACCCAATCTTTAATTAGAGGAATCTAAATTTGCCATTTAAGAAAGAAAAAAAGAAATTGTTTTGATATAAACCCAGTGGGTCAGTCTAGTGGTCAGGGTATTTTAAATAACACAACAATGCCTTTAGTTAAAATTTGTAGGCTATTGTTGCATTTATGAGTTCGATTAAAGTTATCCATAGAAGAAAGGCAGCACTTTTTACGGCTTTAGAGTGTTTGTTTTACTGATTTATTGGCAATGGACAAATTGCCGAAGTCCATTCTCAAATCAAGATGAGACTCTGATAAAATTAGAGCAGATATTTCCAAGAGTAAAACTCAATTTTGTAGTGTCTAGTATAGGTTTATTTTGTGAGTGTTGTTATTATATACATCTCGATCGAGTATAATAAATTTATTTGTTTTCCTCCACTAGTAGTGGATTTAATTCATTAATTTGGTATTAAAACTTTTCACAATACAACACAAGCGGAGGGCTCTTAGTGTCTTCACTGCTGTTAGGTTCAAGATTCGAATCCTGTACCTAACAATTGCAGAAAGGATGTGGGAAGAGGTGGAAGGATAAAAAAAAAAGGAAAAATTATTTTGGCATATAACTACTTGAATTAATATACATTGATAATGTATATATAGAAAATTAATTTATAAATACTTTAACTTGTTAATGTGAACACAATCTCTAACTAATGGAGAATAAATTTGTCATTTTAGAAAAAAGAAAAAAAAAATTTTTGGCATATAATGACTAACTGTGACAGTATCATTTGTCAAAGCTTGTATGTAAGAAAAAGGATTAAGCATGGCAACCTGGACAATCAGTTCCGGGGCTATTCCTATTCAGAACACATTCGAAGGTGCCTGCCCGTGCATCAATATTCGTCAAGAACTCCTTTCAATGGAAAATCTTCTTAAGAGTTTCTGGCATTGATGAATGTTCAAATTCTGATGTAGGATATGGCCCTGAAGGCCCGTGTGACACTGCTTTGCCAATTGTATCCAAAATCCTAGTTAATAACTTGACCTAGAAGAAATTTAGGTACCAATTAGCTATTGTCTAAACACCAAAACATTAGCCAAAATATAATGCTTCACACACCAGTTCCGCGTTCAATCCAGGGAGAAATCAGAATTGCCGGAACCGCTAACACCGAAGCGATCAAACCTGAAATTATGGGGTGCAGGAGCTACTTTGTTATCTGGGCTTGGAATCCCGGTGAGAGGAGTTGGAACATGATCATAAAATCCACCATGTTCGTCGTAGATGATAATTAACAAAATTTCAGTCCAGAGTTGTGAAAGAAATCTATGGCACCATAAGATGTAGCGGAGCTGATAAACAGCGTATTTGGCTGTGTCAAACCAGGAATTGATGAAAACCGTCTGTCATAAACTGCAAATTCTGAAATCAGCTCCTTGTAAACTGGCAATGACTCTGGTCTGTGTCCATGCATTACTATTTCTGGCAATGACGACATTGGTTTGAATCCATTCATTATCTTCACAACTATCCAATCCTGAAACCTTTCCGCATTCTGTGTGAAGCCATCCAGTGTTGGAGAAAGATCTTGGGAAGCTGATGATGACGAGAACTGATCACTAGTCCATGGTACACCAAAAACTTGCTCCAATAATATTGCGTCAAATGAATGGGCAGGATCTGGCACAACATCTTCAGATTGATCGCCAAAATAGATGCTGTTTGAATCAGGATCAGAGGTTGATAAAGGGTTCCATTCAGTTCCAGTTACACCATCAATTTCAGGATTCAGGGACCTCATCCATCCTAGCATGTGGTCAAATGATTGATTTTCTTGGGCTACAATACTTCTGAAGTATTTTAAGATAATCTTGCAATGACGACGTTAGGCAATTTAGTATCAATAAATAACCATTCCTAATTTTCTGGGCAATTGTATTTTAAAGTATTTGATTTTGATGACTGTGGTTCCTACTTGCACTGTCCTGTCCTTCCTGATAGAGGGTGAACCCTGAACCTAGTAAGAAGGAGGCTATTAAAGTTCTGTTGCCCCCAGGTCAATCGTTAAACAGCAAATCTACATTTTGCGACTGACAATGCCTCTTTAATGCGGGTAGTGCAGAAGTTTGCTTCTTTGGTATTGTAGTTGATTTATGAAATTAAGATTTGCTTCTTTTTTTTTTTTCCTCCATAGTTTGCTGTGTTGAAAAAAAAGAAAAAAAAAAAAAAGAAACAAAAGCAAATAGCTAGACAGTCACCGTCGAAAAGCCAAATGAGTTTTCTGCATGCATGGAAACGTTTTGTTTTTTAAAAGGAAGTATTCGTTATACAGCTAAACTGATACTTTTCCCCTTTTCTTCCATATTGCAATGTCAATCTCCATCTTCTTAAACACTGATGTAACTCAAGTCAAATCACCCTTGATCAGGTGAGATAAATATTTTGCAATTTGCCAATTTTTGGTGCCTTATTTCTCCAAAAAAAATTTCAACAATAACACGTCACTTCACATACGAACCAACTTCAACTTCAACTTCTTGCAAATAGATGAACGGCTATCAATTTGCCACTCTCATTAAACATAGATTTCAAGCAAGAAAAGGTTCCTTTTTGTTTTGTTTTTTCTAATACTTGTATTTGCCTAGCTGTTTGGTCCCTTTTTGAGGCAAAATTTGTCAAACTGTTATAGTATTTAAGCTCAATTCGTCAAATTGAATGATTTTATTTTCTCTCTTTTACCATTGTGATACAAAAAAGCTAAGAAAAATATAACGACTACCATATTAATTACTCTAGTTGTTGCTACGACGAGAATAACGAAAAATAACTATTAATAACTCAGGCAGGATTTTCTTTCGGGTTAATTTCACTTTGTCCCCCCAAACTTTGGACTATTACCCACTTCAGTCCCTAAACTTCAAAATGGAATACTTAAGTCCCTAAACTTATAAATACCTCCCACTTAAATCCCTAAACTTATAAAATGGGACACTTAAATCCCTAAATCCTTATAAAATGGGACACTTTGACCACCAACGACATTTAGGATTTGTTAACAATTTTCCTTAAGTGGGAGATATTATAAGTTTAGGGACTTAAGTGTCCCATTTTGAAGTTTAAGCACTGAAGTGGGTAATCGTCCAAAGTTTGGGGAGACAAAGTGGAATTAACCCTTTTCTTTTAGTAAGACTATGTAGAAAAGGTTACGTCAAAACTACTTTAATCTATTTTAGTTTTAAAACTGCTGATTAAAATTAAGACGAGGTTGGTTACTCAACCGTGTAATTATGATGTCAATCTAAAAGATTAACTGTTTAACAAATGAAGTTACATTTTAATATGAGATAAAATAGGATTAACCTATACTACACCAACTATGTATACACTAGCGGGATTGTATGCATGTTACATAACTTTATTATTTGAATTCAGACTCTACGTGTAAAAAAGATTAGTCCAACAAAATCATGTAAAAAAAGATTTAGATAGAGAAAATGCAGAAAGAGGGATAAATTAAATGATAGGAGCGTAAGTGAAAGGTCACGGTTGCGAGACCTCCTACTTATACTATTAAAAAAATTTGAGAAAATGGGAAATTTATACCTGAGCAGGCCTGAAAAGATAGCAGGTGGCTTGGTACGGGGGGTTTAAAGCTCGGACTTGTACACATTGGAATACGATGACTTGAGCAGACCATTAGCCCATAAATGTGTACTTTTTGGTGTGATTGTCAAATTTGCAAACCATTAGACAGCTTTTATGACGATGCAAATTTGAAATTCATAGTCCATTTACATATGGGCAGGTATGGGCTTCACTTAGCCCATTATTTTAATTATCCATACTAACTTCTTACGCAGAAAATGATCCCAAAGGAGCTTGCCACATAATGCTGTAATTGGGCTCTGGTTGGACTCTTAAACTAGATACGTCTAGGCCCATGATTGAGCCTTGATCACATTCACTAATAAAAGATTCACATTTGTTACGTACAACTGAAAATTTTGGAAAACGTTTTTCTTGTGCTGGAGAGGGAAAGAACTGGTTTCCATCCAAAAATTGCCATTTGTACTTTTAGAATCCCTAAAGAAACTTTCTCATATATAAATTACTAGTGAGACGGCCTGCGCGTTGCGCAGGAGCACTAATATTTCCCGTGTTAAGTTGCTTAATTTTTAGCCATTATATATTTCTTATAATATAGAGAGTTATATAATTATTATAAGTTTGATTTGAATTATAAAATAATAGTGCGGTAAATTGATTGAATGAATATAGTGTTAATAGTTTGTGAAGTATGGAGAATATTTTGTAATATAATGGTTAATAAAGTACAATAATTGAGACAATGCAGTGTCGACATTTTGTGTGGTATGATTTGTATAAATTATGTGGTTTGGGTGAGGTAATTATAAAGATATCCATCTATATTTATGTATATCTCTATTACTCACTAAGTTTCATAAATATGGGCCTATTTCCTTTTTTTTGCACAAATTAAAACATTTAATCAATATAATCACAAAAATTATTTTTTTTCATATTTTTGTATAATGTCTCTCACTAATATTAGATCATTAATCCACATTAAGAGCCATGTATTATTACATTGTTTTTGAAATTTACAGGACTTTAATTTTTTTAATGTAATTAATGTTGCATGTTTGACTAAAAGAATAATAAAAAATAGCATACAACATTGCTTTTCAATTTAGAGTAATTTAGAGCCATTAGGAAAAATGAATATATACACATTAAATTTAGAGCCATTAGGAAACATTTTATAATAATTATATATATATATATTAAATATGGATATTTATCTAACAATATAAAAGTGAGAGTTGCCCCATGAACAATTTTTTTTGTCAAGTAGTTATCCTGCAATTGTTATTGGATGCTCGGACTATTAGTAAATAACATACTAATTATTCTTTTTAAAGAACGAAAAATAAGAATAAAAAAAGGGCATTAAAAATTTGTAATAATTATATAGACTAATATGGATATATAGACTAATATATCTTTATAATTGTATGTTTTAAAAAGTAGTAGGATTAGAAACCATTTTTAGTCCCATGACACCTTAATCGATTTTGGTTAATTGTGATAACAATGTTGGACTTCTTTTCTTTTCTTTTTTTTTTTTTTTACTGCTGTTTAACTTTTGGGAATCATTCAGTCAAAAGCTACTGCTGAACACGCTAAACAATTACTGTATTCAACAATTTTACAGAGCACTTTTTTATTTCATTTTTTTTTGCAATATATGCATTCATTTTTTTCCAAACAATTTTATTTCATGTCGCTGTAATAAAATCCATTTTTTAAAGTCACTAAAGCCAATAATAATTTGTTAATTATATTCCTCAATAATTGTGTATTTACAGAACACTCAACATTATTTAGATTGTTTCTTACATTAAAAAAATTAAAGTACTGTAAATTTCAAAAACAATGTAATAATGCATGGCTCTTAATGTAGATTAATAATCTAATATTAGTGAGCAGCATTATACAAAAACATGAAAGAAAAATAATTGTTGTGATTATATTGATTAAGGGTCTGTTTGGTTGAAAATAAAATGTTTTCCTTGGGAAAATATTTTCCGTGGAAGTAATTTTCCATGAAAATCATTTTCCTTTCATCACTTTCAGGTGTTTGGTTATCTTATTGAAAATATTTTCTTACTTCATTTTTCTGGTATTTGTTTAACTTTTGAAATATTTTCACTTTTATCTCTATCTTTACTTTCTACACATTATAACTACATACTTCTTCCCATGCAAAATAAGAAAATTTATCTCATTGTTTAACTTTAAAAAATCTTGGAGAAATGTATATATGAATAAAAAATATCTCCTTAAGCAATAAACGAATTGCTGGCCATTTAGTGTCAAATATCAATCACATGCAATGGTTATTTTGATATATATCTTGCACTCTCACTGCTGAAAGTTTCTCTAGAAAAGAATGTCCGTATTATACATAATTAATTACTAGCATATGATGAGTAGGATGAGGTTTTTTTTTTATTTTGAATATACGAGGGGGAGGGTTGGATTGGGTTGAGTGGTACGGGGAAGATGAGTGAAAATATTTTCAGTAACTTTTGTGCAACCAAACACGAGAAATTAGGAAAATATTTTCCTGTAAAACATTTTCACCCGAAACAAACGGACCCTAAATGTTTTACTTTGTGCAAAAAAAAAAGGAAAAAGCCAACAAATTTGCCCTCAAAGTTGCCCAAAATTACCTTATAAATGCTTGACAAAAAATTCACTATTCATAAGCCAACTCCCTCCCAAAAATAATTGTTGTGATTATATTGATTAAATGTTTTAATTTGTGAAAAAAAAAGGAAAAAGCCAACAAATACAAAAGCCAACAAAGTTGCCCAAAATTACCTTATAACCGCTTGACAAAAAATTTACTATTCATACACCAACTCCATCTTTTATTCCCAAAATTACAGGATAATCGCTTGACAAAAAAAAATACTATTCATAGAGCAACTCCCCATTTTATATTGTTAAAGATTAGATTATTTTACCCATGAATTAGTGTGTATTATTAACTTATTTTGTCCTACAATTTTTTCTTCAAGATAATCCAAACCAAATGCCACAGGAAGCACGTGGCTTGGTGTTGGAAATAATCCCACGGCAAGGCAAGGCACGGCACGTGGCTTGGTGTTGGAAATAAATTTGCTTTGAGCCATCTTGTCTGCGGCTAAGGGGGTAAAGCAAAGAATTTTAATGACCAAAACGGCCCTCAAAGTCATCCAATGCCAAAAGCGAATTTCCAGCAAAACCATTGCCATCCAATGCCAAAAGATCAAAATGCCCCTCAAAGTCACAAAAATAACGGCATAACCGCTTGACCAAAAAGCTACTGTTCATTCTCCAACTCTCTCTTTTATATATTTAGATACTAGTAAGGCCTGGCTGCACTACGCACAACCAATGCCCACCCTAAAGGGTTTTAAGGGTAACAAAATTTGAATGATTATTTATAAATTGAGTGTCATGTGTAAATATATTATAAAGAGTATCTTAATACATTGCTGGTTAATAAAGGGAAAAAATTCATTGTAATAAAAAGCAAGTATTAATGCATATATAAAATAAAATAGATAGGAAAAATGTATATTATGTTTGGTAACAATTCCAGTTGGTTTATATAGGTTTAACTGGTGCTAAATAAAATAAGTGAAGTGACTAACCTAGAGTAAAGTGACAGGCAAAGGAAAAATCTTGAGTACTGAAAGTAATGCTGCAAAAGGAAAACACAAAACACGTAAAAGAAAGTATATGTTACTATAGTAATATATAAATGCATAGATTTGTTGAAGTAAAAAGTAAGAAAATTGTATTACCAAACGTGAGAAAACAAGAAAGTGAAGGAAGCTTTCTCTCTGCTATGTGAGAACGAGAAGGAAATTAAAATTGGAAGGAAATGAAGCACAATAAAGGTTGGTAGTGTATGTAATGGTGTGTACTTTATTATTCAACGTTTGTTTGTTGATAATAATTTCATCTAAAAGGGTAGTCTATGAAAGCTAAATTAAGCTAGTAGCTTGTCTTTCAATCTATGGTTATAAACGATGAAATACAATTGATAATTCCTCAAAAGGTTGATTTTCTTGTAAAAGACAACCTAACTCTAAAGAAAAATGTAAGTATCTAATCTGGTTAGATAATTGAGAAAAAGTTGAGTAGTTGAAGAGCATTATTTGACTTATGACTTATTACAAGCAAAGCAGAGGAAAAATAAGAGAACCAAGCAATCTGTAAGCTGGCTTGTTGAATAATCTAATAATGCAATAAGGTTGGAAAAACATTTTTTTCTCCGAATTAGAACTTATAATAAATAAACTTTATTGAATAAATTAATAATCTGACAGCACCAAAAAAAAAGAAAAAATGCAAATCTAATGATTACCATGAAAACAACAACAAAGAGCATTTTAATGAAATATAATAGAGATGCACATATTTTTGTCATTAAGACGTTAATGCGTTCGTCAACTAAAAATAGAGTATAAATGAAGTATAAAATAGACGTTAATGCATTCATATTTATATTAAGGTATAAATGAATTAAAATAGATTTGATAACAAAAATATATGAACATAAAGTCAAATGCTACCAAATATCTTAATATGAACAAATTAAAATAAATTTGAAACAAAAAAATGCACATTACATTAAGTAGTGGTAATAATATTTTTCTTTATAATAAGATGAAATTAGTTTTGTCTAATCTTTTTTCTTACATTAAAAATAACAAAATGTCAAAAAATATAACAATTTGAAAAAATCCATGCAATTCAACGAATTTTAACAAATGCAACTTAATTTGTCAAATATAACTTTAAATGATAATTCATATTGAAATAAATATAAATTCAAATAATAATGATAATAACGTTGTAATCCAATTAAAACTTAAGTTAATTTGTCAAATATAAGTTGAAATGATCATGTAAATGATACTCCAATTGAATTATATTTCTCCAAAATCTAGAGTTTGAAAAATCTATTAAAAATATTTCAAACTTATAACCGTAGACAGAGGACTTATTCCCCTAATCAGCCTTATAAAGCAATGCCAAGTCCACAAGGCAATTCTATGTCCATAGAGAAAGCAAAAGAGAAAACTCAAAATTCACCCATAATGCCACGTGTCAGCAAGGAAAGTTGCTATAGTAATTTTGGACCTTTGCTTATATTATAGTAAGATAAGATTAATCTTCTATACACTGACAATATGTGTCATGCATCCAAAGGTGAAAGTGTATACACTTTCAGTTTATATAAGATTTACTCTTATAAATTATAAATAATAAATAAATATGGGAAGATTAATTCGCGGGACTTTAATGCTTTGTCACAAGGAAGTCTCTAGCTCATTTATAAAATAAAAAAAAAGTAACTCCTTAATCTTCCAATGATTAAATTATATCTAAATATGATAGTGCACGAATGATTGCCTGCTAAATGAATTATTAAAAGATTCTATAGACTCGAGAAATATACCTGAAAAATTATTGATTAACTTGATATTTAAAAAAGTATGGATCTATTTTTTTTTTTTTTTTAAATCTAGTCACTTCCTTTGTGCACCAAATGCCAACAAGTAAAGGGTGGTTGGAACTGTTCTTGTACTTTACTAGCAGTATTCTAAAACTTCCATCTATCTCCAATTGTAAAGCATAGGTCCACAACTATTTGACAAAAAATAATAATAATAATTGAAAGGATGATTGCATCCATTCCCGAGGACAGCATTTTATGGCAAAATCATGTAGTAAATAGGTAGCCGTACGTCAAATAAGAAAAATATGTAAAATGCCATCAAAGTGGTCAATTAATTATGGGTAGGCCAATAATTGACAAGTGCCTACTTGGCCTTTTTAACTTTGTAAATTTGTATGTTAGGCATGAAGGTGCAACTAAACAATTAAAGAATTAAACTGAAATTCCATGATAGTGCATGATCTTTTCTTGATGGGAAGAATCATTGCATAATTGGCATTTTTTTTTTTTTTTGGGCTTGATCTTAGTTTCGGTTTGCAATATTCAGGCAATGTAGATTTGGTAATTAGAACAAAGATTAGAATGCAAGTTAAGTAAGGTTGGAAAAATGTTCAGAAAAGAACCTTATATTTGCCGAATCTATAAGCAACCTATAATGAGCTAGAAGAATTGAGAGAACATGACGCTAATTCTTGAAAATAGACAAATCAAGAAGTAGTTTACCAAACAAATACAATATTCCATAGCTTTGGAATGGATTGGTGCAGTTCACTTGTGCAATAGATTATTGTTGTTTGGTTTCAAAACTGTCTTAGTAGAAGCTGGCCAACCTCTTCCAGTGTATCAAGAAACTGTTGTGTTATCAAGGAGTGAGATTTCTTCATCATTGAAAGATAATTTGACAAAAGCATATAAACTATTTGGGAAAACAGACATTTATGATGTATAATGTAGCTTAGTTTATCAAAGAGAATTAACAACTTGTTAATTTTCATATTTTGGTGAATTTGAACAATCTTTGGAACTGTAGATTAAAGAAATTAGTATTCACAAGAGCTAGCAGTTTTAGCTGGGAATGATATGATTCTTGCCTTTATCTTGCCTTGTAAAATTGAATCTTCCTGTGGAAAAAGATCTCTTCATTACAGCAGGAACTCTTGCTGCTAAATCGCAGTCTTTGCTTCTATCTTTTTGCTTGCTTTGTCCCTCCTGCATCCCTTTTGAAGAACCAATTCCGATCCCACCGTCTGAGTCTTCTCGATCATGTTCATTGGTTCTCAGGCTATCAGCAACCGGAAGATTGCGCCGACGAGAAAATGTACCTAAGGACATCGATCTTCTGAATTGTCTTGCATCTTCTCGGTCACCAATTATGCAGTTTCTGGAGTCAACATTTTCCGACTCATTGTCAAATTGGAGAGCATCCTTAAAAAGAACATCTGAAACGAGGCTAATAGAAACTTCTTCTTGATGAGTACTCCTTTCTTGATGATCCTCTACCACGAATATCAGATCATTTTGTCTCTGGATTTCGAGGGAAGATATGTTGAGGGTGGTCAAGGAAGTTTGAGAACTTGGAGGAGCCGGAGGAGGCAGGGTTGGAATAGCAGGATTTACGTTGGCACGGCAAAGAGGACAATTGGAGTGAGATTTCAACCATGCATCAATACAAGGAAGGTGAAAAGCATGACAACATTTTGGCAACAATCTGAGGCTTTCATCTTCCTGAAACTCATTTAAACACACTGCACATTCCGTCCCTTCCACCAATCCATCGCCTTTCTTATACCTGAAAACTGTTATAGACTTGATAAGTGCCTCGTCTAAACCAGTTGTAGCAACCTGCCATTGGTCATGAGTCACTTCATCATGGTGAGCTTCAAACTCAATGTTTGAATTTCTTGATCTTCTTCTTCTGCAATATCTGGTGACAATGGTATAGTAGCTCACTAGAAGGAAGGCGCTCGCCAATATACCGAGGATTGCTATAATTAGAGGGGAGAATGTGGTGCCTGAGCCATCATCATTTCCAAGAGGAGGAGGAGGAGGGAAGATTATGTAGCACCATTGAGGACAATATATGCTGCAAATTCCTTGTGAACAATCCCTGTAAGTATCATATGGTGCCCAGGAACTTGGCCTCCCCACAGATCCCATGTCCAAAATTTTATGGCCACTAAAATCTGGAACAGCTTATGTATGGTGTTTCCATAATTCACATGCTATCAACATAGGCATGCTTTGCAAGAGAAATGAGAGATGAGTAGGTGCACAGATGAGGAGTCTAAGGAAAGAGGGCTTAGAGGGCAAGGGAAGCAAAGAAGAGGAGGAGATGGAGGTTGCGGTGTACTTTCCACTGTTGTTTCTTTTAGGAGTGACTTTAGCTTCCTCATCTTCTTTCTCTTTATCTACTTGGCTTTACTTAAAGCGTCCTCTTTTGCATTTCTTTTCCCTCCTCCCCACCTATGATGATTTGTTGACCAAAGAGATGATATTGGTTGGGTTTCTGATGAAAGTGATTAATAAACATCCTGTTACCGTCCAAGTTAGTTGATGAATCTGGATATGTGGAGTGCACCGCACCTCCAAACCACAACAACAACAAAAGTGTTGGTTGCCCCACTCAAGAAAGTGACACAAGAAATGTTGCACAAGCACTCGAGCAAAAGCATTGACAATCAATTTTCTCTAGGCTAAGAACCACTGGGATTCATCAAGATCCATAAATTAAGTGAGCACATTATTATATAAGATTAGTTTCCTTTAGAAATCAATTAGTTAAGGAAAGGAATATGATACTCCATCCACTATAATATTCTTGAAAACATGGTTTTCTTTTTCTTATTCTGTTTGTTGCACCGTCTCAAAGTTCAGAAAAACAATTCTAATTAAAAGAAGCAGAAGCTTCTACCATACAAAAAGTTACCCTTTTATCAGACAATCATGCACTGCCACACGTGGACTTCAGAGGTTGGAACTTGGAGGTAATGAACCAAATTCACTTACAATCCTAATTCTAGTTCAATATGTTAGTAGTTCTTTCTGGTCTAATTTGGGATGTGTAGATGACACCTGAATCAAATCTTGTGTAGGAATTGGTTCTTGAAATCCTTGATACGTTCTGTATTTAGCATTTGGCCTGTAAAGATCCTGAAACTGAAGGAAAATGCTTTATTTCGCCATTCCTGTTTAGGATTATCCTCCATACTCGGCTGTCATTGCAAGCTGCAACTCTGCTAGGAGTTGTCTGCATCGCTTGTGATTGAAACGCAACAATACAGAACTTTTTCCTTCCACAATTAAAATCATTCAAATGGTGGAGAGATGAACTAAGAGGAACTATAGGTCCTAAAGGCTTTTACTAGGGTTCAAGATCAATATTTATCTACCAAACCTCTTCAGTTCAGATTACACCATCCCATAACACTTGTGAGGTGATTGATTTTTCTTCCAATTAGTTATCACTTATCCTACCCTTGTTTTCACCTACCCTAAGATAGTTTATATGAAAACGGGTCCAAAAATTGCTGATAAGATGGTTGAATTAGGCCACCCTGTGCTGCTACACCTAACCCCTTCCGTTGGGTAGTCATGTGGAAAATTCCCCATTCTAACAACAAAATCACATGGAACTAGGCAGTGGCTGCACCATGCCAGGTTATGTAGCAAGAGTTGTCAATGTGTAAGTGCCCAAATCTTGTGAAAGTATTTGGAATATGAAGGGTCATGGTCATTATGATAAATGCAAAACAATGTATATGTTACAAGCATAATTCACAGGCTAAATATTAATATAACTACAAATAAACTGTAAACACGATCAACAATCTATGCAAATATCAGATAATAGCAGAATGAAAGTAATACAGTACCATATCAATATCAGCAAGCAACAAATTCACCAATCTAGAATCTTGATTCTCTTTCCTCAGATTCAACAACCACTCATGACAGACAACCAACATTCAACTCAACTACTTTAACACTTGAAGTTGAGCAAACGATACGAGATAGGAACAAAATTTTCGATCAGTTATAGAGCCATTAAGGATGACAAATGTTCACATGAAATGTCCAGACAGTATGCTCATCCAGAGGCTGTAGGGATGGCAATTAGGGCGGGTGCCCGCGGAGGGCTAATGGGGCAGGGACCATTGCCATTCCTAGGAGGCTGTAATAAGAACAATACTTGGCAAGACTATTCCCCCACCCCCACCCCCACCCCCCAAAGGGTCAACTTAGAATTCTCATATAAGAACCATATCACATAATAATACAGAGTCAATTCCATTATGCAGAGAAGTCAAGAAAAACAAGATCATAAAAGCATTACGTCAATGGAATCAAATACTTTTCTGTCCCAGATTCAGAACTATCAATCAGAGGTAAGAAGTGAACAGCTATCTTACAGTTATGCTCCCTCTTTTCTACATTCAATGCTTGCTGTAACTAAAAACAAGCAAAAGGCAAATCTTTTGTTTCCCAGATGATTGTCCTTGTCTAATAAGCTATATAAATGCACAGGCTCAAATTAGTTGTTGTCCCTTTAGCATACTTTTGTCATACAAAATAATATTCTTTACATGGCAGAGCCTTTCCTGTATGACAGGTAGAGATATTCCCAATAAAATCAAAGACTGGTGGTAAAGATTCTTAAACAAATAGAGAAAAGCATAACTTGCTTCCTACATGGTATTAAATACAATGCAATGGATGAGAAGCATGATTTGCTTTTAACTGTGCTGTGAAACAAAATAGCCACAATCAAAAGAAATTCCTGCATTGCTTTTCTCCTATCGCTCAATTTCCTTTGTTCTCCAGCTATGAAATTCCTAACAGGCCATTAAGCTTGAGCGCTAAAGTGAGAATACATCTCTATTGTGAGCCAGTTTAATACTCTACTCAACTTCAACTTCTCAAGAAGCTAGTAGAAGTTCAAAATAAGGACGAACAGCTTTCATAGCTTATTTCAATGATGATCCAACAAAATGACGACAACACGTACTGGACTGAACCAGCACTTCCACAGAGTATGCAGTGGGATGAATAATACTTGTTGAATCACCAGACCATACGCAGCTCAGTGCTGTTAAAATAATTTGAGCTATGTCTTTAGTACTATCTATTTCACTGGAGCAAGCATCTATAGAGAAGAGATTGACATCCCAGACCCTTGTGCTGTACTACCTATTTAAAAGAATGCAAGTGAGGTTACCGTAACTAGAACTTTTCACTTCAAGGATACACTATACTTGTCCAGAAAAAGAAAACCTGGTATTCCAAAACTAGCAGCAGTCCAAAAGACAGTAAAATCCCTGAATCAGTACATGATTCAGGTTAAATTCTTTAACATGGTGCCAATTTCCATTCCAACTATTTTGAATGTCACATACACACTTACATGCCTACATGTATGTACATATTATATATGAAGAGCGGGTTTTTTTTTGGGGGTGGGGGGGGGGGAGTGAGAGAGGGCATGGAATATAAAACTGATGGGAACTCAAATATGCAATTAACAATTTAAAGACCAAAAGTTATACTCTTTACAACAGGAAAGTGGAAAACAAAATATAATTTTATTAACTTACTAAAAACTAGTATACAAGAATATGTGCATCTCGTTATTTTCACATTTTCTATTTTCTAAAAGAATACTATATAGCTACAAAAACTGTACTCCTATGAAGAATTCATGCTCTTCCCCTTCCTCTTTTCGTCCATCGCCTGCTTGAAAGAATAAAAATAAATAAATCTCAAACATATCCAAAGACTTAAGAGCAAATTCCAAACAAAAGTTCCCATACCTCACAAAAGTAGAGAAGAAAACTTTTAAGCCCAATCCACAAATTCAAGAAGGAAGAGTATATATTAATCGAAGGCACGAACAAAATATGAAATGCAAAATAAACATAAAGCTAAGTATTTTGACACTAAGCATTTTGACCATCTATGGATTCCAATAAAAATGATAACTCCCCAACTTATATTTCAAAACTTAAATGTCTAAAGACTTAACATGAATGATATAACTTCCCTATTTCATTGGTATTAGATAGTGCAAACGTTCCAAATGCTACACAGGAAAAGAGAAATAGATGCTATACAGGAAATGAGAGGCAAACTCAGTGGCAATTGGACTAACGACACTCAAAAGTGAGAGAAACTCCTCCGTATCCTACCATTTTTCCCCACCAAGGATAAGAATTTCATGTGCCTATGCACTATGTCATCAGAAGATCCATCTGCTCATTACTTGTAAGGTAAAGGTCGAGAGCAAAGATAGGAGAAGCGTTATTATGGTAATTGACAAGGTTCTAAGCAACAAATAGCAAATATGTTTAGAGTGCAGCCTTAAAGAGTCCCACTATTTGCTCAATAATTTTGTAATTAACCAAATTAAGACATTCCCCTGACATAGATTGAGAATAAACTAGCTCCCATGGAGAATCATTTTCATCTAGTTATTGGGATTTCTAATATGGTTTTGGAGTTGGAACATTAAAAAGGCATGTTGAGAGGTTACTATTTCATGTTGAAGCCTTGATATCCTATATAAATTTGTGAACTTCACCTGCATGATGTTCACTAAGTGAACTAATTCGATGCATATGGACATGAAAACCTTTAGGAGTACACTGAACTTCAATGCAACAATGCTTCAAACAAGCAAATGTAGTTTAAAATGCATCAAATTATTATCATATCAGACACAGTCTCTTTTTCCCCATAGTCAAAACACTAGTCATAAAAGCTATTACAAACTATTGGTGTCAATTGTAGCCTTATGAAACCCATCAAAAGAAATTTTACAATCTAATCACCAAAGACATGCATAATGTCCCACGTTCCATGAATTATAGAAAATCAACAAACCCAATGGTTTTGTGGTTGAGCTTTCAATTGACCACAATTTTGCTTCATATCACCAAAACTTGTACACATCAGAAAGACTTGTTAAAAGACTTAGTAATGTTGAACTTATATCTAATGGACACTGCAGAACATGTCAAACATGTATACCGGTTGCAGCCTTTGGCTTCATGTCCTATATGACATACTTTCTTTGAGCATGGACCTTGGAATTTTGGGAAACTAACTAAAGCTACTTGTAATAGGATCCCACTTGGTAAGAGTGACTAGTCAGGTTTGAAACTGGAGCTCTATGTAGAAATTCTACAAGGAGCAGTTGCACAATTCATTCTACCAATTTGAACAAGCACAAAACTTTTTAGAATTTTCAATAATGGAAAGTCTTGTTGGAAGTGTGGCATAGATAAATTGTAACCACTTTGAAGACAGTTGTGATTTGGAATCTAGAAGAAGAAAGAAATAAGTCCAGGCTATTTTATACCATCAAACACATATAGTAAGATCTCAATGATCCACATTTGTTTCTGAGCACGACAATGGCAGAAAAGCTTAGCAATATGCCAAGCAAGTATGCATGCTATGTCCTACAGATAATCAGTTTAGGTTTGACATTGACACAATGCCAATAAATGTCAATATGGGCTGCATAATCGATACATTTGTTACTGCTTCAACAGCCGATTTCATATGTCTAGGGCCACATCAGTATTCATTTTGGCACAAGGCCAATGAATGATGAAATTTAGCTGCATATTCAACTTGGTGCTACTAACCTTTTAGAATCTGTTGACAGTAGAGTTTAAAGGGATCTAGGACACTGGCAATATTGTGTTGAGCCTGAGGGAACATTTTGCATATGTACTAAACTTTGATTGCATGGGATGCCCTGTAACTTTACGTTGAACAAATCTGTCCAATTTTATAAGTATTCCCTTTCCAGGTGTTTAAAATGCTAGTGATGTTAACATGACAAATTTTGTTTTCAATTATAGCCAAATAGAGGAAAGAAGACAATGAGGAAGAAAGGAAAGGCAGATTGACTAACTTGCCTCCTGATCTCATGAGTAGACATCTAAAATAAACAATATTCCTTGAATCAACTGATTTATATTCAAGCATTCCAGCGGATAAGAGGTATATTGCTCCTTGTCTTAGTATGAGGCTTCATTTCTCATCTCCAATCCCATGAATCCCCTGTCCTCGCCACTACTTCCTTTCCCATCCCTTCCCTTCTAAATAATGAAAGAAAAAGAAAACCTAACTTTCACTTGGGTTTTCTGTTCAATGTTTTTGATGTTTTCAACGTTCTCATATTTGGAGAGATGCAATTTTACAGGGAAGCTGGTTTGATCCCAAAATTTTTCTTGTCAGCAGACTCAGCATATAGAAGCTGCTATACTTTTGATTTCAATTCGTCTCCAAACTTTGGAAAACTTTTGCTTGATTTATATAGACTTTTAACTTTTTGTATTGGGATTTCAAACTTGGAACTGTTTAATAAAATAGGTAGCCAAGTAAACTCTCGAACTAGGTGGATTTTAAGATTAAAAAAACTTAATATTTTCATTATTTATTCTCCTGCAGCTTACTGTTGCATCTAACAAGATAAAAATGGAACTACATCAGTTTGCTTGTGTATTGGCTTATATCTTCCCGAGTCTAGAGTACATAACAACAAAAAACTTACTCACTATCCAAGAACATAAGGAACTACAAAACCACTTACATCACACAAAGATAAAAATCCTTGATTAAAGAGAGAAAATACCAAGGATCTTTAACAAAAAGAGACTTCTAGATTCCAAAAGTACAAATGATGTTATCTGCAGAGAAGCATACCTTCGTCTGGAAGATTCTTATTGTCAATGCTAGTGTATCACGCATTCTGCCAGAAAGAAATGGCATCACATCATACATTGCAATACACACCAAGAAAACATGAGGCGTGCAGTTACTCTAGTATAGCTGTAGTAAACTATTAATTCGGTGAAAAAAAAGGCACTAAAATTTAATCAAATTATGCAGAAGTGATTCCTTCCATTGTAATTGAGCCATAAAATCAGGGAAAGAAAAAGAACAAAAGACATTCATTTACAGAGCTCGAAAATGGCACTCCTTATCGAATTGTTAGTAACTCTACAAGGAGAAAACAAGATTATTCCAGAGCTAGCAGCTTGGAACCTCCCACAAGATGATACAATTAAATTGGCTCAAAGATCATAGCATCAAGCTTTTGTAGCCATGCCCATTGCTTGCTCAGCAATCTATGTAACTTGGAAGCTGATTTTGAGCTCCCTAAATGAGCTAATTTATTCACTAAGCAGTAGTTGTTCTGTTTAGGTAAATATCCTGATGTTTAGAAACGAGCTCCAAGTGACGGCTATACTAGGCCCAACCCCAATTGGGAAGCCAAAGGAAGAGTTACACCTATTGCACACATTTTAAGGAAGATGACTCTCTGAAAAAGAGGGGGGGGGGGGCGAAGGAAGGAACTCTAGGCATAATGCTGCACAACTCAGAGGATATGTATGAAGTTGCTCATCATCATATTTGCTATTATTTCTTGTACGTCTATGCATAAACATTAAAACACATACAATTACATACAATCAACCAGGAAAATGGAAAATCATTAGAAAGTTTTTTTTTTCCAAAATCCTGAATGTACATTAGCGTGGCCCCACTAAGGTCCTCCTGTGAATATCATAGAGAGGAGCTTTTAAGTTCTTAGTTACATAGTAAAACTAAATGGGAAGTTCCATGTGCAAACCTATGAAAAAGGATTCATGTACCCCACAACACCATGCATAATTACCACTTATGAGAGTAACGCAGGGCAAGTTAGAAAGTTATAATGGTGCATACCTAACATCATTGTTTGTGCTGAAAAAATGTGAAGAACCATCAGAATATGTTAAAACAAACTGTGATGAGACCCCATTGGGAATTTTAACCTGCAAAAGGTAAGAGAGCAATGCTGTTGATATGTTTGTTATCCCTGAGAATATTCCAAATCTAAACCCAATAATCACAAAATCAAAATACATAACAAGGTATCACTAATAAATACTGGTAGTCATGTACATTATTCTCACTAATACAGTCACTCCACAACAATCAAGTACAATTTAATTTTAATGTATCACTACACCATCAGTTAATGTTGGAGGCCAATGTAAAGTGACGACAATCTTGTCTTGTCTAAAAAGCCCACTTTTAGCTGGCCATGCAAAGTTACTGACAAATTTAAACTTCAGCACACAATTGTTTTGACAGATCACTTGAGTAAGGGAGAAGCTTAATTGAGTAGGGAATCAACTCACTTTTGGGACACAATTATCATCTATAGGAACCCAAATGGATCAAATGATCAACATAGGCAAATATGCATTTATAAAACTTCTCTGCATACATATAATTGCTTAAAAAAGTGAAACACTGTCATTCCAAAAAGTGCTTAAATGTATTTGCATTCCATAAATGAAATTCAGGTCCAGATAAAAACAATCCCCAATATGAGTATTAGATTCTTGATTGTCCAAACTGTTAGAAAGTAAAAAGCATTACCGACAAGTCTCTGGAAAATTTCTCTGCAATTGCCACTTCCTGCATTCTGTGAACCTTGACTTGGAAACTTGATCGCCTCAAAAATATGGTTGCCGGTTCCCAATTCTCGGAAGAATCTATCTGTTTGCAAATTGGATGATTAATGCTAAATATCTTTATAGCTAAATAAAAAATAATTTAAGTTGCTAATAACAACATACATAGTCAAGGTTTAGCTATCTTTTGGCAGGGTAACAAATATAGAATTATCTGCAGTACTCACAACTCCTAAGAATTTAACACAATCATAATCAGTTTATTCATCTTTTTAAGGTTTACAATTTCCAGATCTTATCACTTTTGGTAATTTTATATGTAGCAACATTAATCATGCATGAGGGGATGATGCTGGTGATTTATTCTGCCGCAAATAAAGATTTAATAATTGCTCATGTAGATAATACTTCTAAAGCAGAAAAAGCGAAGAGGGCATGTAGGATCTCTTGTTTTTTTCCAGGTGGACAACCAGGCGGACGAGGCAGCAATTTCACAGAAAAGATACAAATATAACAGTGGGGAAGGACATCTCATTATTTCATTGTATGCCTCTCAGCAATGGATGGTCCATTTTAACTCAAAAAGAGTAATAATCACATGACTACAAATATTTGAAAGGGAGCCAAATAAAGGGAAGAGTGCCTTGGTTAACATTACAACTTCAAGATGCTACATGCTATCTGCTCCTTTCAAAATCTTTTACTCCATTTGCAAAATCTATTGCAACATTACTATATGGAAAGTATGATATGGTGCACTCACTATTTGACTGTACATTAGGAGTAAGCAACTAATAACTATTACACCATTAGAGGCCTTTCTAATTCACTTATTACTGGTGTAAACCTTTCCTGATATTGATAATAATCCACAAATCACTCTGTGTTTATGCATCTAAAAAGGTGAGTACAAATTATAAACCTACAAACTAGCACCTATAATCCTATAAATTAGATCCAAAATTAGATAAGTGGTGTCTAACAAGTGAACAGTATGAGTAGGTAAATAAATATGAGTTTGATATTTGCAAATTATATATAACCTACAAGCATTAGAACATTGAATGTCGCTTGGCCATTTGAAATATGGGTGTCTATCTCCAGTTGCATATCAGGATCTGCAAAAGCCAAAGGTATCATTTGCCAGCAAGTATTGCAGAGAAATGAGCAGGCAACCAAAGAATGTCCTGTACTGATGCTTATGCAAACAAATATCCACAGTCCACTTACCAAAAACTTGATGATGTTAAACTGCTAAAAGCAACTGGAAAATATAATATATGTAGTTGCAAAACTGTAATTATGCATTCATGGGTAACTACAAAGCATGATGAGATATTCTAAAACTTCATATGAAAATAAACATTCAGAAACAATAAGGTAAAATGTTCCAAACCGAATTGACACTTGCTAAGCAATTTTCTTCTGCAAGCATCTAAACAAGTCAAATTAAAATAATTGACACCTCTTGGAGGTAATGACTTAATTGACTTCTTGTAAAAGCATTAAGATCTACATGCTGAAGAAATTTAGGGCTCTTGACAGTTCTTTTGGTAACTCTAGAATGAAAATTAGTTGGGCTTTTTAAAATACAAACTACGAGGTCTAGGCAGCTTCTCATTTTAGAGAGAGAGAAAGAATTGCAATTTTGGCGCTTCGCATGATTCCTTGCAAATAATACATGACATTTCTATCTCTTTTCAAGGTTGTTGCTTCTGGTTGAAACTATCACACGATCCAAACTTGATTGCCCAAACTAGACCAAATTTGTCAACGAATGTTGACAGGAACTAGAACAATTACCCAAAGGAATTGGCTAGTTGTATGTGTTCAAGTATTATTTACATAAACATCAGTAGTTGATTACTTTTTAAATTTACATAGTTAGGAGATATATTATTTGAGGTTAAGCAGAACACATGATTACAGGCTTCTTCTACTTTTCAGTAAGCTTTTAATATATTCAAGAACAGAGTACATTGTCTCAACCTTATTTAGAATAGGGATTAATACAAATCAAAGACTGAATTAAATTCTTTTGCAGCTTTCCTGCATCAAATGTATCAGCCTGTTTACAGATTTCCTGCATCGAATGTATTAGCCTCTTTAAAGTTCTTACATCACTGACATAATTAATTTTCATAGTCAGAAAGAGTGAAACATAAAATCATCTGGCCAAAAAATTTCATTTTGTGCTATATACCAAGCTTAATGGTGGGTCTGGTGTAATGTCCTTTAAATTCTTCATAAATTAGCTAACCTGCCACTATTGACATTTCAATCAATAACTACCATCGTGTCCTGGAGGTTGGTTTGGATTGGATCAATATACGTATATTAGCTTTGAGTAGAGATTACAAGGACAAGCCATGACAACCTTACCTCTACTATTGAGCATCTTGGGTTCCTTATACTTGATGGTTTTCATTTAGATGAGACTTATAAGGGACATGCTTAATGAACTAAAAGAACAATTTTGAGTTCTAAAACTATATTCCTTAATCAAATCCCACTAAAAGAAAGAGGATGGGCAGGATTCCAGTTCAGTTTTATCAGATAAAAGATACCAAAAAAAAGTTATAGGAACAAATACTGTAAGAACTGTGTAGCTTTCTGGACCATGAGAACACAAAAATGAGAATACGAACCACCATGTCAATTTGATATTTCAAGCATCAACCATACAACTGTTAATTAAAGTAACTGAACTTACCACATGTTATTTTGTTCTGATCATTTGCAAATAGCCTGACAAGATCTCCCTGATTAAAATTTAAAAAAAAAAAGATGGCTTGTGAAACGTCAAGAAGACAACAGACTGACACTTAAAGATGAGTATTCATGCATGTGCCACAATAATAAAAAATTGAGATGAAAGCCACCTAGATTTCCAATAAACAATGGTCAAATTCACTAAGCAATCATGGCGTGATCAGAATTAGAAAAAGAAACAGCATGGCTGTATGAGAAAGTTGAACAGTCTAGAACTTCTTCAAATTATTGAATTGGTTCAATTTATTTGGTGTAACTAAAGTAACACAAGAAGGGTCTATCAGTTTTTCACATAACCCTCCTATGGTTCCAAAGCTATACATAAACCCCCCATGGTTTGTACTAAAGTGTAAAAGTGACAGAAATTGCCTTCTGACAAAAAAGTCAAAAGTACCCCAATGTCAAGATAGAAACTATTTGTTAACCGCAGAGGGGGTTATGTATAGATTTTGACAACCCATACTACATTATAGCTTGACCACTTCAATCATTTTAGTTTCTAAGTGAAAGTAATCTAGACATTCCAGCTGGTTCCACTGCAGAGGACAATTTCCATCACTTTGAGACTTTAGCCCAAACAATGAGGCGTTAAATATAGCTTTTAAACCAGAGGAGGGTATTGTGAAAAGCGCTAAATGACAGGAGAGAAAAGTGTAATTTACCCAAACAAAAATAAACAACAAATTTAAAGGATGATCTAAGTTATCTCAAAAAAATCCTTCAAAGAATATTGATTACCAACATGCCCAAGATTTCCTATAATCTTTTCTTTCTTTTCTTTGTAAAAGTAGCAGAAAGCTAAACCTGAACCTGAGTGTTATCCCTGGGCTTCACTATAACCAAGTAAACGTGTATCAACAAATTATGAGATCGAGTCCACAACTTTCAAGTGCTAAGCCCATAAAATTTCAGAAAAGAATTTTACTAGATGAACAAGTTCTGACTAATTTGCTTATCAAATAATCAACAAATTCTTGAAGATCTTTTTAAATACTCTTCTCCCCAAATTTGATCATTAAGTTTTCTCCAACAGCAAATCAGTGCAGGTACTTGGACACAAGGTAAGAAACATTTCTAAGAAGGTCAAGCTTGAATAATTGAAGATTTTGTACCAGAAATATATGGATGTATTGGTATGTCTGAGACCACTCGAAAGCAAAACATGCAGTTAGAACTTATTACCCGCAGTTTAAACACTCTAAAACAACAAAGGAAAATAACTTCATAAACATATATATATAAAAAAAAAAAAACAAAGGTCAAGCATAACCTGGCGTCCATGATCATCCATTGGTATGCACTCTACAGCTATAACTTTATCGATGTCATCAGCTGTAACTACATATTCTGGGTTGGTGGCTCCTGATTAGAAAAATATGACATATCTAAGGAACACTTCTATTGTTGATATGTGAATATACGAGGAGTGCAGAATAAAACTATAGATTATAATTAATTGCAATTTCTTTTTTTGAGAAAAATTAATATGCGAGAGAAGGCCTAATTGATAAATGACGATTACCCTCGATGTACTGCCTAGTTCCATCTGGATAATGACGAACCCACTGGTGCAAAGAGAAATGATTAAATAAGAAATTAAAAAATAATAACATTATATCAACAAAATAAAAAAGTTGTTATCTTCTGAAGTAACCTTGAATGATATTTACCTGAAACATACAGAGAGAAGTTCCACGAACAGGATATCCACAGCCTAAAAGCTTTCCTCCAGGTTTAGCATCTCCAATAATTTGAAAGCCTTCTATTCCAGGACCCTCTCCTAGTGCCAAAAACAAAATTAGATTTTGTAGGAAATCCATCATTAAGAATACAGACTAAAACATGTATTACCTTCTGAAGTTAAAGAACCAACTCTAGGAGAGTGGTAAAACTGATCATTTTCATCTGGTCTCATATTTATGCCACTTCTGTCAAATATATTGTCTACCTCAGAACCTACAACACCCCTGCAAATGTGTCTGTTAGGAAGAAGCATTTATCCAGTAGGAAATGCCAAAAAAAAAAGGACCACCAGATAATATAAGAATGACAAGCTGGTTGAAAACAAAAACCTGATACAAAAAGTTCAGCCTGAACCAGTTCTCAGGTTCTTTAAACCTTTAAATAATACTATAAGAATCAACTAAATCGGGCAGACTTACAAGTTGAAAATTGTCAATAATCAAACTAGCTATTTAATTCTACAGTTTCTAATCACAATGCAACAGAGCAACAATAATTTGTTGCACACTAGAATGCACTAGCTCGGGAAAAGCCATATGGATTTGTCTTCTTCCTATTTCACACTAATGGGTAAAATATATGCATGGGGAAGTCAAAGCTTATCTACCAGACATCTAATGGCTTATCTATAAAATGTCTTCTTCCTCTTTTGCACATGCAGACAAAAATATGTATACAGGGAGGTCATATCTACAATATGTCTAATCATGAAAAGATATCTATTTCAACACATGGCTTATGGGAAATATAAATCAATCAATCAACAAGAGTAAAATTAATCTAATTAAAAAGCTACATCTGCAAGGTAAATAACTCAGCTTCTTGATGTTCAAAGCAGCAAAATTTCTGCTCATATTGTAGGCATACTTTATCAATCTATCTTGGAAACCAAGCATCTGATGATGTACTCCTTTGGGGCTGATGCAGCACACAGAAGTCTAACTTTTTAGGTTCAGACATTGACAATGCAAATAATAAGAAAGCCAGAATGTTTACATTAATGCAGCGGTCTATACTGAAGGCATTACAACAAATATTAAACATGTAAGTTGCACTGATTCTTGTGTCTAGGAAAGAGATATCTCCAGTAATAATCTTTTTCTGCCTCCACAAGTATGTAAAATTAAATCAGACTTACAAACACTAAAAATCTTTGAAAGTCTTGGCTGACAATGAGAAACTGCTTACAATAAAATTCTGATGGAGAAATACCCAATTAGATTGTGCAATTGACTATGGCTGAAAAGTAATAAAAATTCATGGCAACTTCATCTATTTCCAAGAAGCACACTATTCACAGTTTTACAATGCTTCAAAGAAGTTGGCGGTCACAATTTTAAGGTTTCATGTAACAAAACAACCAAAGAACCAAAGAACGAAGCATAACATGAACCAGTCAAATCGATATGTTGCAAAATGTGAGAACAACATTAGATTTTCATAGCATATTCTGACCAAATTAGTAAGCCTGCAGAACCCCAGACTTGCCTATCATTATCAGATGTAAGTTTTGAATGATTATCTGCACTCCGTGAACCATATATTCCATGATTAAGCATTAAACTTCCAGTTTGTTGATGATCATTCTCTTGTATGTACGTCGGTACACCATCGGCTGGCTCCATTTGATGTCCATCTAAATAGTGGTTTTGATGAGAAGATCCACCCATGCCCTTGAAACGAAGGACATCCAAATTAGTGCATAACTTACCCTAGGGAGAAAGAAAAAGCAGAATTACACTTCTTTGAGTAAACTATGAAAAAGAACTCTGTTTACCATGGAACTGTTAGGAAATTGACCCATAATGGGGCCAGCACTAGGGTTCTCCTTGCCAGTATGATTTCCAGCTATTGCATTTAGCTCTTCAATTTTATCCTGTGCCAAGAGATATATGAGGTTGATCATTTATACTACAAGTGAAAAGTTACGTTCTGTAAGATGAATTTAGATTATGAAGGAAAAAGAAGGCCATCTATAGTGCATAATTTTGCATATCAACCCACTTAACTGGGATCTGTAACAACCCACAACAGATCAAAGCAAAGGAAAATAAACAGAGTATCTCCACCAGGAAAGGAGAGAATAGAAATCATACAAAGCATGTTGGGTGAAGCCGCTAAGGAACACATGTATCAACAGCAAGATAGGACAAAATACACCTATGTTTCCCTAACAGTTTATATAAATTTTCACTACCAGAGTACTGGTTTTAGGATGAGAAACAAGTGTAGAAAAGTTTAGCACAATATTATTCATATCAAATTCTTCAGCACAGTACGAAGTCGAAGACAACACAAAACAAACTTTCTTTCTCAACAACAGGACTACATGTGAAATCCTTGATCCAGAAATAAGCATGAAATTTTCGCATGATTATCAACAAAATTGCGTACAATCTTAAATTTAGATCATACTTGTGCATATAATCTTATTATCATTCAGTAACAAAAGAAAATTGCAATTACTACTCACAAACAAAAATCTTACATGTGAAGTTTTAATCTTCGATTGCAGTTGATCATGCAAGTGCTGCAAAAAAATGAGATTCCATAAGCCTGAAATCTATAAATTTGCAAAACTAACAAGAATTTTTTATACAAGCAGCACATCCTTTCCTAATCTGCATAGGTAGCCATAAGGTAAAAGACTAAATTACAAAATTTCAGCATAATTTTTCATCAAAAGCATACGTAAAATAAGGAAAATTTAAAACATATATAAGAGAAATAAAAGATTATAAATGCCTTTAGGAGTTTTCGATTGAAACAGCTAACTGACTTTGACAAACTTTAACAACAAAAGCATGATTTCAATTTCTTTCAACAAATTTCCCAAGAATCACTTTTCCATAATCAACTAGGGAAGAAGCAGAAGCCATCGAGAAAAAGCCCAAATAGCCATTTTTAGTGTGCAAATGACCAATACAATGATTAAGGGATAAAGTCAATTTCGATATGCATACCATAGCTGTACTAATAGTATGGCGTGCATATAAAGATGCATAAAAGTTACCCTTCTCCACTCCAAAATAAAAGAAGAAAGCCAAATGATAACATTAAACCGTTCATTAAAGTTCTTGATACTCTGGCAAGGAACATTGATGGAATGCATATTCCATTTGGCAGCATTTTGAGGCACAGAAATGACAAAGACTAAATTTCCTTGTTAAATTAAATTAAGAAAAAGTGATTCAGAATAACAAAGTCTTGTAATAGTTGCAAGTAGGCAAATCACATACTTCAATTTTTGTTCTTTCAAGTACTATATCCTTCTGAAATGCTTGCAAAACCATGAATTGCTAATCTGTAAATATATATGGCCCCTTATGCTATTACTCATATGATTATCAGTTTTGAAGTGTTCCATATACCACGATTAGAAAAATAATCCCAAACAAATTTGCTTGGATGCAGGATGCACATGCAAGGGGAAGGCACAGGTGTACATGCAAGATGCTTCAGTTTGAGTTTTCTCATGTTTAGACTGAAACTGTCTCCTTTGAGTCTTTTATGTACTCCCTATTTCCAAGATTACTGTCCATGAATTAGGAGTAAGCTATTCAAGGGTCTTGATCAGATTATTTTATTGTGTTGGTTCTGATGGTTGGATACTGGTTTATCTTTTCAGGACTCGTAGTCTCTCTATTAATAGTTTCATTATATTTTGGTAGACTTTGAGTCTTTGAAAACCCATATGAGCATTCAATTATGTGCAGTGGAGTCAAATTACCAGAGTTTAAATTGTCATTTTCTGATTTCCTTTCCCTTCCCAGGTAAAAATACTACATTTTCTCTATCCTGTTGTGTAGTCTTCTTCCTTTTACTGCTTAATTTGGTAAGAGCTCAAAGCACAAAATGCATGACTTCTTTTTCACTAAACCTTCTCCTCTTAAGTACTAGTTATTGCAGGCCATCCATTTTGATGCACTTTCATCCCCAGTTTTTGGACACTGTTTAATCAAAGCCTTTTGTGGTTCCCACATAATTTGGCTTTAACACATTAAGAACATGAGCATTTTCTAAGCTGGAATAAGGACAATTTACAGAAGACAGATTCTGCCTTTCAAACTAATCAATTTAAAAATTCACATCCAAGATCCTTTAAAGTTCTTCTTTTAGGTTTCATCCTCAATTCTAATGTTTATGCTTCCTCTCTTAAGTTCCGCAGAAGCCTACCCATATACAAAACTAAGCACATTGCATTCATTGATTGCTATAACCCAGAAGAGCACCATGATCAACATTAAATACTATAACCTCGATTTACATGGCTTTCCGGCGCTTGGAGATCCCACAAACTGATTCTGATACATGAACATAAGAAGCATGCTTCTGCCAAAGTGAAAGGATATTTTGCTACAAGCAACAATAACAGCTACCAATAATATACCAGCAGTCTCTGGCTATATTCACTTGAAGTTGTGGCCCCCTTCCCATGAAATGTCTTGCAGTCATATGTAGTGTACCAGTAAGAAAATACTTAATTAAGAAAACCAAGATGAAAATTTTAGACCCATTTCAGCATTAGTAGTCAAGAAACTGTCTATTTCAATCACAAACAAAATTGCAACATCTCAAAAGATTAAACTTGTCATATGATCAAACAGTATTAATATCATCTTCATATTATTTGCAAATCAAAGCTAACATCCCCTTATTATAATTATAATTATTCAAATTCTGCTTCAAAACGTAGAATATTAGATAGAGTGCTAAAGTCCAAAAAGTCACACTTCTGTCTAACAGCTTAAGCTTACAGAAGAGGTGGTAATTCAGTCATTAAAAATGAGCTATGAATAATCATTAATTAAGGGCAAATTTATGGGCAAATAGCCAGAAAGACAGATCTCTAACTAAAACAATAGCTTCCCATCAGGAATACATTTCTACTAAAAAGGCAACATGAAACTAAAATTTAAAATTTTACTGTAGGATCAAGTAAAACACATACTAATAACATATAACCATCTGCGTGCTATAGTACATACCTTAATGCTGTTCGTAAGAGTAAATGCAGTAGTAACACGAGGCCAAATGCCATACTCTGCCAACAACCCCAGCATTGATGACATAAAGATGTATTTCTCATCTTCTGCAATCTGAAGCATACATGAACCTTTCAAACACAATCCTCAGAGGAAAATATTTGACATAAAACTACCATTGTATCTAGTCAAGAAAGAGTATATGGAACTTCATAAATTAGCATGAAGTTGTCCTTGTGTATCAGAGGAAGTCCAAACATTTCACATCTAATAAAAGTTACAAGTGGATATGTACTATTTTAGATGATATGCATTACCATATGAAGTATCTACCTTTAACAGGACAAACTCAATTTCGATTTGAAGATCAGTCATGCCATCAATATTTTGATACATTATTTGGCTACAAAGGAATGGTTTTAACTTGAAAAGACAAGGTTTAAGGCTTGTCACCATCAACAGATAACTTCCATTAGTAATTGACTAGATATGTATCGAATGGGGCTATAATTGGTCTCCATTTTTACACAGAAAGAAAAATTCTAATATGCTTTCTGTGTTTGAAGCATGTAATAGAGCATTCAAGTACAATAAAAAAAGCAGCAGAAAAGAAATGTTTGACTTTGTCACAAGGCAATATGTCCAGCAAACAGCTCCAGAAGACATATGCCAATGATTCTTTTCTTTTCCCTTTCTCCACAGCGACATTCAAATTTCAACTATCTTTTCAAGGTAAAACTTTTTCACTCTTTCGAGATACAGACAAACTAAAACTGGGGGTATATTTTCACAACTCCTAAATGGGATCTATCAAGATTTTGAAAATAAAAATTTGTCATTTTATGTGAAATTGGCTCATCATATTTGAGGAAGCATTCGAAGAAATCCCTATATCCTGAATGAAATGTCTTCATTTTGGGTAGGGAACAGTTTCTTTTACTTCAAACTGCACAACTTAAAATTTTCATGGATTCAACATTACCAACCTTACCAGTAATACTACAGGTCCATTTGAATGGAATCTACTGTAGATCATGGCAATTTTTTTTGGGAAATATTGGTGTTTGTCCAAAACACCTCTCCCTCCCCCCCTCCCCGGCCACTCCTATTCTCTCTTCCCACCTCCTCCTACAAACCTGCCACCTCCCTCCTATCTTCTCCACCAACTTCAACCCCTTTCACCTCCTCCCTCTTCTCCCTGCCACCCACCTCCCCTCCCCATCCCTTCCACTTCCCCCCAATCTTGCTGCCCTCGTCCCTCTCTTCCCCAAGAAGGTGGAGAAGGTGGTCAAGAAGAGAGAAGGGGAGTAGGAGAGCAGTGGCAAAGTGGGTGGAGGAGGAGGGAAGGGAGGAGAAGGGTGGCAGTGGTGGGGTGGTTTTTCATTTTTTGGGTATACGTTTTTGGGTGTTTTAGGGCGTTTTTTAGCAAGTTACTGCAGATGGTGTTTTGAAACAAATTTGTTTGTCCAAAACAGCCCAAAAACAAGCCTGCCAAGCAGACCATTTTAACAGAGTCAACTTCATGCACTTCCAGAGACATTTATAAACTGATGTGTGGATTTATGTAAAATACCAAAAAAAGGGAATTTGATGAATCCGTTTTCATGTTTGGAGAAAGAGTGGTAACCTCAAAAGCCAATCCAAGTAAAATGTCACCAGTCCTCCACTTTTGTTTTCGTGTAGTGCTTTCAGTTGGAAGGTTATAATATTTTCCTCAAAAACTCAACAATCCTGTACTCTAGGAATGTGAAATACAGACTGCAGTCTAATTGAGCATTCATATTAAATCAACAGAATACATTGCAGTTGACGTTCTTGTTTCCCTTCTCCTTTCTTCTTCCACACCAACTTGATGACTATCCTTTTCTATGGGGCAATAAATTGATGCTGTTCAGAGGTAAGGAACTCCACATAGTGACTTTTGAACAAAGTTTTTTTTTTCCCAAAAAAGATGGGGCTTCTAAGATGGACGCTACCTTTTCTGAGTTCAGCTAATTACAACTTATATAAAAGATGAATATTTGTGACTAGTCCAGATAACAAAAAAATCTTACAAAAAGGGAACAAAGTAAAATGAAGACAAAACCACTTTCCAAGCCTATCAAATTTTTGTTTTACATCATCACAATTTGCATTAAAAGAAAAGAGGATATTAGCAATGACAAAATAGGTTCGAATACTGAAGAAGGAGGTGATATAGATTGACAAGAACAATGCATAAAGATCTCTTTTGAAAGTATGAAGTAAGAATAAGCAATACAACTAAAAGAAGAAGGACCTGCTCATAGTTAACAGAAATATACTCAAAACACACAGAGTGACATTGAAACAAATGGTAAGAAACAAAGCAAGTTGGTGACTTCCAAATGAATTATCTTGAGGATCTACATGCTATGGTTCTACTTAGCCACTGCACATGAACAAAGTCTTTGAGCACTCTTTACTTCCAGCCAGTAAGATCAAGGAATAGTCTGTCACGCATTCATGAAAAACCTATATAACGTCTCTTTAGCCTTAGAAGCAAGGTCAACAATCAGACTGTGGATAGGAAATCTTTTACCTCTTGAACAACCAGAAATCTCTACAATTCCTTGAGGCAACATTAATTTGGGACAAAGGAAATTAATCCGCAATAACACAAAAGAAGCATCAAATCTAACAGAACAGCTACACAAGGCATGAGCAGTTTCACCCTGGCCAAAAAAGCAAAGAAAACCCTCCTTGCCACAATCTATCTACCCTCCCAATTAAAACAACAGTCTCCAGTTCAATGTACCTATAAACTTAGCTATAAGATCAGAGAAAACTACACGGACTGCATTTGAATAAAAAGTTTTGGAGTAATAAAAATCATCCTACCATCCAGGTTTGTTAACAAGCTTATGTAGAAGCAGAAAAGCATATGTTGTAAGACAACTAATATTCGCAAACAACAATACACAAATGGACTGAAAGAGTACTAACCTATTTTGATCATTGACTGATCCATCCTTTTAAAGACATGTACAAGTTATGCCCCCAGTGGCAGAGCAAGCAAAAAAAACCTAATTCCTACCAGTACGGGACATCCTAAAAAGCATGAAAATAAAAAAAAATAAAAAAAACACACACACACACACATACACACACATGAAAAGATTGAATCCAGTCCACGTTCAACTATATTTCCTCAGTTCAGATCTGATTTGAACAATTCTCCTGAAAAAATTTAAATGAAAACCTACCTTTAACTCATTAATCAATCTCAGATTTTCTTCAAGATCACCTTTTCTCCGGGCCAATTCATTTGAGGCAGAAGTTATGGCTTCATTATAAACAAAATAATGCAAAGTAATATGATTTATTTATATTTTATATTCAAATGCAAAATGTTTGCATAATCTTCACCCTATTTACAATAGTTTTGCTTACTTGATTTTTGTTACCATGCCAAGTCCTTAAGCAAAGTTGCCTTTTATGTTGTAACATCATTTTGCATCAACCTTTAATCATATTAACCTAGGTTTTATCAACTTGACTTAAGTTACCGTTTAACCCAGTTAGTAAATACTCATGTTATACCTGTATAATACGCATTCATACGTGTAACTTAAAATATTTTGACATTTCAGACATTTAAAAAATTCTCCTACTTTTCATATAGTCTTATAAAATGTGCAATAAACTTTTGGTGTATTATACTTGCCAAACCATTCTTCAATTATTTTTAAAAAAATAAAATTTGTATAACTGTAATGACATATTTTTCAACTTATATACAAAATAGCATCTATTAATATCATAATTTCCATATATTTATATATGTAAATAGAATAAGATGATAAATTTTTATCTCCTGAGATAATTGTGTTGGGTCCTCCCTCCTTTTGGAATATGATAGACAAATAGAGTTACTTGAACAAAACTAAAAGAATAAAAGTATTTAATAGTTTGTCAATAGTAATATAGAGAACTTTAGTAATTTTATAAGTACTACGACTGTCCAAATTTTAGCAAATTAAGTAAACAAATTTCACTTCTAATTTAAAATGGCTTTAATGTTTTAATAGGTAATCCTAAATGTTGAAGTACCAGGTTGGAACGGACACAAAAATACGACCTGCGAATCACAAAGGAACTCGACATGAGGCTTTATCCCTAGTTTCACTTTGATACTTAAGTTAATAAAGATTCCCAAATGTGGTAGCACTGAGAACAAGAGAGTGATTATACAACTTTGAAAGGGCAAAATGAGGGGCATCTATACTGACGAACAACAAAGAGGGAAATGAAGGAGAGTATGATGTCTTAGTTAAAAAAAATTCGACGGTGTTAGGGTTAGATTTGAACCCTAATATGTGTCAGTTGGATGGCACCTGATACATTGGTCAGATTAGGTCATTCCTTTAAGACGTAGTTTCAAACAACAGTTCGGAGATCCATACCACCTTGAAAAGTCCATGATATCACATAAAAAAATTAGCGAATCGACACTATCGAATAACTCGACAACTGGGTCTAACCGAATTCATTATGAGATTGACGATGATTCCCACATAAAACGTTGGGTTAATTTGGTCTAACATTTGATAAATGGCATTATTAAGAATCAACAGTTAAAAAATTACATTTGACACATCACACGAGTGATATGCTACAAATAGCTTAAAGTTAGCGGGCTTATTATGAAAGTTTCTTAAGGCCAGGGGTCGGCATTGGTAAAATTGAAGCTTCGGGACTAGAATGCAACATGTTCCAAAACTTGGGGGTTGAAAGCTGAAAAATGAAAAGTCACTGGGGCCGTTTACTCCATCTTCCTGCTGCTTGCCGGTATCAGCCCACAAATACAAGCAAAAAATAACATAACAGTTGAGGAAAGAAAGAAAGACCATTTGTATTGAATCCATGAACATCAGATTGTAAAATGTCACAGCAGCATCTTTACAACAGCAGTAGTAGCAGTAATGTTAACAGTAATGTTGGGAATTTTAATCTTCCTGTGAGTGAAGTTTATTGGTCTTTGGTGGCAAAAGCTGATAAGAAGTTTTCCAAGATCAGGGATTTGCCTTATTACCAACGTAATAGGTAAAGAAGAAAAAGACCCTTTTCCTTATTTACGTTTTTTCCTTGGTTCATTTGGCATTTTCACTTGTGGGTTGATGTTATTTGTATTGAATGATGTTCACGTGCAGAAAATCTTTGGTGAGTTCTGTTGATAGTTAAAAGAGAGAGAGAGAGAGGAAAACAAAAAGGAATTGGAATAGAGCCAAGTATTAAATTTGTTGAATTGGAGACAAGAATTTGAATGGGACGTACGGTATTCGGTTGTACTGTACTTTCGGTTCGGAGGATCATGGGTTTTTTCGCGTTGGTAACTGAGATAGTAGGGGAGTAAAGAAAATATGATTTTGGGGGAATTGGGTTTTTTGGGGAATTGAGGATCACTGTATTCTTTCAGAAGTTGTCCCTTTACTGGAAGTTTCATTGATATTCGTCAAACAGCGTAGCCTATGCATTTGTGTGCATTGCCTGTGTTTTTGTACAATTTGTTGAACTTACATTTACTTGAAAAAACAGTGTGAAGATAGAAATCTTTGTTCCCAGGCTGGATACCTTGTAACTGATAGCCACATGTGTGTGTGTGTGTGTATGTGGGCATCTGGTATCGATCTCTCTAAACGGTTGAAGTTAATAACTACCGGTTTCCTGAAATTGAGACTGTTGCATGATGCTGATCATTTTGGTCTTAATGATTTTTCTTTTGAAAAATTTACCCAGGTATGATACTTATTTCTCTAAAGTTTTCAAGATTTACACCCAATTGTGGAAGTTTCAACAAGAGAACCGGCAGAAGCTGGTGGAAGCAGGTCTAAAGAGATGGGAGATTGGGGATATTGCTTCACGGATTGGCCAGCTTTATTTTGGGCAGTATATGAGAACAAGCGAGGCTAGTTATTTGTCTGAATCATATATATTTTATGAGGCAATACTAACGAGGGAGTATTTCAAGGATGGAATGTTCCAAGAAATTAACATCGCATTCAAGCAGTTGAGATTTCTTGCTCGGTTTTTGACTGTTTGTTTGGTGTTGAGTCGGCGAGATGTGGTGTATCAGTTAGTGAATCAATTCAAGATGCTACTTGATGATTGCAAGAGGACATACCAGGTTACATCTATCAGCACTTAACAGTCCTAAGCTTCACCCCTAATGTGTTTTTACTAATTGAGCCACGTTAAGCATTGCCTGTTAGTAACATTTTCTCAAGTGTGATTTCTGTATGTTCTAATATGAATTCATCTTTTCAGTTTAATATGCAAAATTTTCCACTTTCATTATAAGAAAAAATTTTCTTTCACATGCATTTCTCTATGTCTGAAACTTTTGTTTAGTTATCTTTTTTTTCCAAGAAACGATAAGTGATTTTGTTAATATTGGGTAAAACTGTACAATTGGTGAGCAAAGGCTCAAATTGTTTAGTTATCAATTAGATATATTTTGTGGTTTGACGTGGTAATATTGTGTAATAAGAGATGGTTTGCAATGTTATCATTTTAGTGCCAAGAGATTGAAATGGACCATTTCTAGTTTTCTAATTAATATTTTTTCTAAGTTTTAAGAGTTCTTGGTCCTCTTGTTTATTACACATGTATGAGCGACAGTTGAATGATGTTTCCAGGAAACTGACTTTAAAGAATGGAAGCTGGTGGTTCAGGAAATAGTTAAATTTCTAAAAGCTGACACAGCTTTTATGAATTTGAGGCCTTTGAGATATAGTGTGGTACTGGATCTCCATCCAGATTCCATACCAAATGCTGCTGAGGCAAAGAGAAAGCTAAAACTGAAAGATGCATTATTGTGCAGCTACCATCCTAATGAGGTTTGTGCATCTTACGCTTGTTCTCGAGGCACATCATAGTCTAAGTTCCAGTGAAGTTCTTGGTTTTTTTGTCTAAATTATGAAGTACCAACTGGTGATGCTTCCTATTTAGCTAATTGATGCGGTTTTGTTATCAATTGATCAGGTCAAATTTTCAGAACTCACACTTGACACTTTCAGAATGCTACAGTGCCTGGAGTGGGAGCCTAGCGGTTCATTTTACCAGACAGGTGCTGCTCCTCCAAGTGGTAATAGCATTGGCCAGAATGGGGCTCCAGGACACAGTCACATCAACTATTCCCAGGATATAACTGATCCTATGTTGCCACCAAATCCAAGAAAAGCAATCTTATATCGTCCTTCTGTTACACATTTCGTTGCTGTGAGTAGCTAGTCTTTAGTGGTTATGTTATTACTTTTGTGCAGCCCATGTATATGTGCATGTCCATAAAGATCTCAAGCTAAACCCTTAAGATGAATTATGTTCTGGACTACAGACCAGGCACCACTTATTTGATCAAAAGATAAAAGTAGTTTTTTAGGGCTTAAATTCAAGACAGTAACATGAATGTATTTTTATACTTGGGGAAACACTAGTTAATGTGGAGGTGCCAATTTGAATTATAGATGGTCTGTGGATGTAAAAACAATAAAGTTTTTGCATAATATGAATCAGAATCTTCTTAGTTAGCAATTATTTACAAGTTGGAGCTGAATGCATAGAATGTTAGTATGAGAATTATCCCTTCTACTAAAATATAATATGTAGTAGTTGATATTAGTTTGCGATAGGATTTTTTTTTTTTCCTTTTTGTGAAGATTAAAGGAACAGTTCTGCTGCTAACTGTATTACTAAATGTGTGAGGAATTCAAAAATAGATTGAATTTATGGTTGAGGACTTTCAATGAGCTCTTAAGAAAACAATGTTATGCAAAAGAACTTCAATTGGCTAGGACGCATCATGCAGGTATTATCCACAATCTGCGAGGAGCTTCCTCCTGATGGGGTTTTCTTAATATACATGTCAGCTTCAGGTGACAAAGGTGTGCCCGTGTCTCTTCCATGATGAATTTTTGTAGTTTCTGTTATAATCCTTGATAATTTACATTGTCTAATTGCTTAAGGTAAACTATGTACACATTTTTATATGCTTCAGGGATCAGTGGGCAAAGTTTGTCATCTTCATCCCATGCTGAAAATGACCGATCAAATCCTACTTCTGTTCACAGTGATGTGGGCTGCTTAGATAACCGCACTGGTTGTTTAAATATTGGTGGGCGTGGAAGTGGAGGTATCTATTCTTAGATAGACTAACAATTACAAGTTAGGATTCCCTAATCATAAACTACTGCTTTTTTTTTTTCCGTTTCTTTTAGTCGCTATTAAATCATCCCTTTCAGTTGGTGGGTTGGTTTAGTTAATTTGTTAGTCATAGAATGATTTGCCTAATTCAGTTGGTGGCTTGGTTTAGCTAATGATTGTACATCTGGTTTGGATTCTCCCAAAATTAAGAGAACAAGTATTATTTGCATGTATTCACTCTGCATAAGTAATCTGAATTTGATCAACTAGTGATTTTTGCTGTCCTGTTGAATTTTGATTGTCATAATCTTTCATGCTGACCAAACTAAATTTTCAGGTTCAAATTGCATCTATCCTTGTGATTTAATTCCATTTACAAGAACGCCACTCTTCCTAATAGTTGACAGTGACATTAGCAGAGCATTCAAGGTATGTACTAGGAGATGGGCTTCTTGTATAATTTATTCCCGAAGTTAACTATAAGCGGCTTTATATATGCCAAGTGTTGGAAATGAAGATGATGCTTGGATGTCTTATCACTTGAGTATTTGATGTATTCTATGTTCCAGTTCTATGCCATATGGAGATTCTCACAGTAAAGCTTCCATGTAGGGCCTAGTCAAACAGACCATAAAGTCATCTGTAAACACTTGACTGGCAAAAGGCATTTTGTTATGCTATCTTAATGAGATCACCATCATCTTAACTTCCCATCATCAGCTTAGCTTCCATGTAGGATCAAACTTTTGTGTGAAACACTGAGATCCAGCAAACCTCTATTTCATCTTAACAATGAAATCTTCAAATGCGAAAACACATTCTCCAGATATTCATAATGACATAGGTTCTCAGTTTTTTGTTTTCTCACTTTTTCAGTATCATTTTTGGCTACATATGTATGTCTCATGTTATACTAAAAGAAGGAATTATGAGGGGTCCAATTAAAAGAAGTCTTTCAGTCATGTGCATTTGCACTAATTTCTTCCATAGCACAAAGCCTTGTGATTTTCATCAATTCTAGATTTTGTTCTGTAGAAAATCTTTTATTTGACCTTGGGCTGACACGTCTCTGTGCATGAGAAAGCTAGCATGTTAGCATACTCTTGAGAGTTTTGGTTTCCCAACAAATATATATGTTTTGAGGATTAAATTTTTTCTTGTAAAAGCATGTCTGTGAAGAAGAGGTGATTTTAGTCTAGAAGGTAACAGGAGAGAGTTCATAACATGTCAATTCAAGGACCCTTTTTGCCTCTGAGGAGGTATCTTGTAAAATGGCTTAGTCGTTTCACAGAGAAACTAAATAACCTGGGTTCTACATATCATCTTTTTTTATTTATGTATCATTTCTAAGTGAGCAAGCGGGTGTTTAGAGACATGGACAGAACTTGACTTTCACTCAGTAGGATTGGTGGGAGTTCTATACACTTAGATATCTCTATGTATGCGACCCTAATTGAATGTCATGATTAGCTTTTGTAGAGTGGTTACATTTCTGTTAGCTAGGGTAATGTCACATTCGCATCGGTGTCATATGAATGTTGACAGATTCAGCTAGCCTGTAGACCAAAATTGCTCTAGTGCCCATTCGTGTCTGCTTTGGAATTTTAAAAGCTGTAGGAAGATATTGCTTTCACTGAAATGGTTGTTTGATATTTGAAGGGGTATTCTTGTCTTAGGAGAGCATCTGCACACAGTACCTTCCTGTGATACCTGTTTTTGTCTTCTCTGATCTGTTATCCGCCTCAGTTGATTGATGGCACTAAGCTTTTTATTAGAGTATTTAATTTCATCCCTATAGCAATCCAATCAGAATAAGAACTATTCCTTGTAGAACATACTTGAACTTAGGCTACACTGAACTGTGGTTCTGAGAGGTAGGAAAATCGCTTAAACTTCTGAAACTCTTGCAAGGAAACATTTCTTAAAGTACTGATAAATCAATTTCTAGGAGTTGATAACTACTGACATCACCTAGTTGTGGCATGCACCGTGGATAGGCTATAGATGGAGCCGAAAAAGGAGAGCCAGTTGCCATGCTCCTGTCACCCACTGCCTCATTGCCTATATCAGCTGTTGACTCTTCTCGCCAGCCTGGTGGAAGTCCATTCACCAATTTCCTGACAGCTCCTCTGCAGGCTTTTATTCTTATGCTTGGTTTTACCAGCTCTGATATTGAGACGGTTAGATAGTAGTCAATAGTGTTCCCTTCAGTTTTTTCCACTTTTTAGTTTAATTTTCTTTAAGGATCTGCAAGGTCTCAGAAGAAGTATGTGTTGTCAGGATTTGTATAATAAAGCTGAGAAGTTGCTTTCCTCATCGTTAAATGAGTGGGGATCATTACTGGCTGTATCAGACAATCTTAATCCTGTTTGGGCTCAAATTTTGGCTGATCCATTCATAAGACGACTCCTCCTGAGGTAATTAAGTGCTGCTTATTCTTTTCTCAATTATCCTTTGCCTAGTACCTATTTGATTTGAACTTATTTGTTGCTTGAACTTATGGACCTCTGGTGAACATGAATTTCAAGCTATCAGTAGTTCAGCACATCAAGGGTTTTGACTTCCACTTACAGTAAAAGCAGCTAAATGTTGGACCATCCGAAAGACACATTGCTTTATGGGCTTTAAGATCCTTTATTATTATTATTTGGTTTTAAATTTTGGGTTCATTGTAGTAGACTGTCCTTTGGCTTTAGAAGAGCCTCTTTTTGAAAATAATATACGTTTTGAAGGTGAAAGTATGTTGCGCTTTTGCAGATTCATATTTTGTCGGGCAGTGCTCGGCCTGTATACTCGAACATCCATAAAGATAGAGTTTCTCCCTGAATGTGTCCCTAGCCTTCCAGATACATTCCTACCAATGACTGCTACATGTCAAACAACAGTTCTGCGACTAGCTGATGTTTTTGGTGCAACAAACAGGTTCATCAATTCAGAAGGAATAGTACTTCCTGAAAGCAGAGACTCTGAGGATTAAAATTCGTCCTCATAAGCTTCAGTTTTGTGCCGAAAGAATGTAGATCATCATATTTTCTTATTTTTTTTCTTCTATTCTTAAAATCCCTCCTCCAATCTGTAGCAGATCAAAGAACAATGCTACTTGTTTTCAGGAGCAAGGGGGGAAAAAAAGAAGAAGCTTGGAATGGCTTGTTTTGAGTGGCTGGGGATGGTTTGTTTAACTTGTATGACTTGAGCCCTGTTTGATTTCTAGCTGAGTGCTTGTATAAGGTTGACTCAGGTGGATCAAGTTCAAGAATATATGTAACTAGGGGGTGGTGCATTTTTATGATTTGGAAAAGATGAATTTGGCAATTTGAACTTGCTAAAGTATTGATTTTATGTAAAAGGAAGTTTTTGACAATAATGTTTAAAGCATATGTTAGTGTAAAAATGGAATACATTTTGTGGTTCAATATTTTGTAGGGCCCGAACTCGGATTCAAGCAAGTCCAAAGCTTGATAATTTTGCTTCTTATTATAGTTCTTGTTGCTTGGTTAAGATTTTCTTTCTTTCTTTTCTTTTCTGCTTCGTTTTTTACGCAACTTAAATTTGGATTTTAATCCGGAGCAACAAAGAATAGTTGGCGTAAAAATTTAAGCAAATGTGCACCACAAGATAAATAAGGGAGATCACGGGTGATATTTTCATATTGTTTTAAATTACGTCAAATTTCTATTGACACGTAACAAGAATTATGAGGGCTTTTTTCTTTTTCTTTTTTTTTTTTTGCTTTTTGTTTTTTGTAATGCTTGTTAGGGATTCTTTTTTTTGAACTTTGAATTTTTTAATGTAGGGGTGTAAATGAACTTAATTAAGTCGAACATTTTAGTGTTGAAACTTGTTTGATTATTTTAACGAATATAAAATTTTGTTCAAATTTGACCTGTTTATTTGTCAAACCAAGTTCGAGAGAGTTTTTTTTTTTTTTAATCGAATTGAATGTTATCAAATATAAAACATTATTCAAATTTGGCTTGAGTAGTTAACGAATTAAATTTGAACGAGTTTTTATCAAGTCGAGTTCAATTCGGGTATCAAATAGTTTGATTCATTTTTTAACTATATTTTAATGCGCCGAGTGAAATCTTGAAAAGTTGATTTGGGAGATTGATTTTTGTACGGAGTTGATTTTCCAGCATTTGAGGACTCAATTCCATATTAAGAATAAAAACAACTAGTACGGTTTGGCTAACATGTGCTCTTGTTAAAGGGTTTGGGAAAAATTCACCTCAGACGAATAAAAAGTCTCAATTTGGAAATAGTAACCAAAATGAAATCACTTTTTTTTTTTTTTTTGAAGGAAAAGGTGAAATTACTCAAATAATATATGTTAATGAGAAATAAATGCTACTAGGAAATATTCTCTGGTAGCAAATAGGGAAGGAAACGACGTCGCAAACAAATCCATCTCCGCAAAGCTATCCTGAAAGGAAAGGAAAACAGAAATGGACTAATCAGCATGGCTCCATCTTTCTTCCCTCCGGCATTTCTCTCTGACTCCTAAGCAGCAGTTTTCAAGCTCCTCAGGTGAATACATCTTCTCTATCTCTACTAGTCTTTCTGTACTTGACCACAATATCTAACTGCAAATTTAGCTGTAAATCCACGTACCCGAACATTGGGAATGCACAAAAGAAATCAACTAGCGTTTGTATAGTGTGAATTAAGAAAGGTAGTTGAAGATGCCTGCCCACTGTTTGAAGCAATTACTGGCTTAAATATCTCATTATGTTTCGATTTTGATGTGACCCTTGTGGGTTTTGAGGTAGTTTTTTACTGTGCCAATTCGAGATTATGTTATTCAGTGGTTGTAAAATATGATGAATATGAGATTCTACCAGCAATATTTGATGGAAAATTAGAAGTTTGTTAATGCATTCTCTATCTTCATGGAATTGAAATGGTAGAACCAAGAGCTTTTACAAAAGATTAGTAAGTGGAAGAGTGCATCATTCTGTATTTAAGTGCACAAAAGATAACAGTTTGAGGGAGGAATTCTTCTGAAGTTTGGCTGATAATTGATACACAAGGTGAACTTTTCCGGGAGGAAGTAGGTTGATGTGCTTTGATTGTTCTTCTTTCTTTGGTTTCATATTGCTCTTCTAGGACTTCACAAGGCAAGCTGGTGCAAGAAAAGAAAAGAAAATAAAAGGAGGGAAATTACAGTAAGATTTGTCAGAAATCCAACTCTAGTAGAGTAGAGAAGTAACAAAAAAATTCCAGAAAATTCTTTGAGTTTCTCTTTTTTAAGCCTCTGGCTTTTTTTCAGTAAAAAATCTGTATTCATAGGCTGTATAGTCGAAATGCATTGCGACAAACATGACATATCAAGGTAACTTCTGTAATTGATTGACGTACTTCTTTACTTGCAATGAATAAACCGATAGTACAAAAATTTCTGAAATTAACTAAAAACACCAACATGCACTAGTGCCTATAATTGTTTGTCACTTCTTAACTTGTTCCATTTATTTCAAGTGTATCTTACATGATTCTTCCTGAGTTCTAATTTGTTAGGCACTAATTCCGGGTTTTATCTCAACAAGGGAAATTGCTTGCTGCAGAAATTGACTCCTCAGCTAGTCCAGCGTTTACTTAGTCTTACATAGAATGGATATCTTAGATGCTTGCACCAGTAATGACCCTCCAGCATTCAGGTTTAATTGTTTCTCTGACAACTTGAATCTTGTGAAAGCTAAGCTTTGGGGGCACAGCTAGTAAATCATGTCTTCAACTTCCCTTTTTACCGCTCCACCAACACTTACACCGACCAAAACAACCATCAAGAAAAATTATTCTCCACCATCTCCTGATAACCTTGCATTTTTTATTGACAAATCAAAAACCATCAATCACATTCGACAAATTCATGCATTCCTCATACGTCATGGCTTTGAAAATCACCCTGTCTTGAATTTCAAGCTCCAGCGCTCTTACTCTTCTTTTGGCTATCTTCAACAGACAGTTACACTTTTCAAGAAATCTCACAATCCCAATGTTTTCTTTTACACTACCATCATTCATAGCCATGCCATGAATAATCTTCATAATGAAGCTTTGGTTTACTACATTCAAATGCTCATGGAAAACGTTGAACCCAATGCATTTACGTTCTCAGCTATCCTTAAAGCTTGCCCTTTTGATCTTGGGCGAGCTCTTCATTGCCAAGCCCTCAAGTTCAGATTTGACTGTGATACATATGTGAGAACTGCACTTGTGGATATTTATGCAAGAAGTGGTGATGTGGTGTCTGCCCGTCAATTGTTTGACACAATGCCTGAAAGAAGTTTGGTTTCATTGACGGCAATGATTACTGGGTATGCAAAGAGTGGGGATGTTGATGAGGCGAGAGCTTTGTTCAATGAGATGGATGACAGGGATGTAGTCTGCTGGAATGTGATGATTGATGGGTATACTCAGCATGGAAGGCCAAATGAAGCTCTAGTACTTTTTAGGCAGATGTTATCGGCAAAGGTGAAGCCTAATGAAGTGACTATGCTTGCAATTCTTTCTGCATGTGGGCAATTGGGGTCTTTGGAGTCAGCCCTGTGGGTTCATGCTTACCTGAAGAATAATGGCATTAAAATAAATGTCCATGTTGGTACTGCTTTGGTTGATATGTACAGCAAATGTGGAAGTTTGGAGGATGCTAGGGCAGTGTTTGATGGAATGATCTTGAAGGATGTTGTTGCATGGAATTCCATGATTCTGGGATATGCAATGCATGGGCTTAGCCGAGAAGCATTAGAGTTGTTTAATGAGATGCGTCGAATGTGTGTTGAACCAACTGATATAACATTTCTTGGTATTTTAAATGCTTGTGCTAATGCTGGACTGATCTCTGAAGGTTGGGCCTTTTTCAATTTAATGAAAGATGAATATGGGTTTCAGCCTAAGGTTGAGCATTATGGATGTATGGTAAATCTTCTTGGCCGTGCTGGGCACTTGGAAGATGCATATCAGCTCATTAAGAACATGAAGATTGACCCGGATCCTGTTTTATGGGGAACTCTACTTGCTGCATGTAGACTTCATGGAAACCTGAATTTGGCAGAGGTTATTGCGGGATCTCTTGTGGAGCATAAAATTGCAAATTCAGGAACTTTTGTTCTTCTTTCTAATATATATGCAGCTACTGGCAATTGGGACGGGGTTGCAAGAGTAAGGTCAATGATGAAGCAAAGTGGGGTCCAAAAGGAGCCAGGTTGCAGTTCAATTGAGGTGGACAACAAGGTACATGAATTTCTTTCTGGTGACTGGAAACACCCGAATAGTAAAGAGATTTACATGATGTTAGAGGAGATGAATCGACGGCTAAAAGCTCATGGATATGTACCTAAGATAGACACAGTGTTACATGATATTGGAGACACTGAGAAAGAGCGATCGCTTGAAGTTCATAGTGAAAAGCTTGCAATTGCCTTTGGACTTATAAGTACCAGTCAGGGAACTACTATTAAGATTGTCAAGAACCTAAGGGTATGTCTAGATTGTCATACTGTTACTAAGCTCATCTCAAAAATTACAGGACGCAAAATAATTGTGAGGGATCGAAACCGATTTCACCATTTTGTGGATGGTTCTTGCTCTTGCGGTGATTACTGGTGAATGATACACATAGAGAAACCTTTGTATTCATTTGCTATCAAAACTGTACATTATAATGTACACCGACTAAGTTGAAATGGAAGTTTCTGTTGGTCAGTCATTGAAGTTGCTTCGGTATTGTGTTCGACATTGAAAATACATCGTAAACAATTGTAAATGGAATTCTCTGTTTCGTTTAGAAAATACATTGTAAAATTTTAAATGGAAGTCTCTGTTTCGTTTAAAAGTACTGATAAATCAATTTCTAGGAGTTGATAACTATTGACATCACCTAGTTGTGGCATGCACCGTGGATAGGCTATACATGGAGCTGAAAAAGGAGAGCCAGTTGCCATGCTCCTGTCACCCACTGCCTCATTGCCTATATCAGTTGTTGACTCTTCTCGCCAGCCTGGTGGAAGTCCATTCACCAATTTCCTGACAGCTCCTCTGCAGGCTTTTATTCTTATGCTTGGTTTTACCAGCTCTGATATTGAGACGGTTAGATAGTAGTCAATAGTGTTCCCTTCAGTTTTTTCCACTTTTTAGTTTAATTTTCTTTAAGGATCAGCAAAGTCTCAGAAGAAGTATGTGTTGTCAGGATTTGTATAATAAAGCTGAGAAGTTGCTTTCCTCATCGTTAAATGAGTGGGGATCACTACTGGCTGCATCAGACAATCTTAATCCTGTTTGGGCTCAAATTTTGGCTGATCCATTCATTAGACTCCTCCTCCTGAGGTAATTAAGTGCTGCTTATACTTTTCTCAATTATCCTTTGCCTAGTACCTATTTGATTTGAACTTGTGGACCTCTGGTGAACATGAAATTTCAAGCTATCAGTAGTTCAGTACATCAAGCGTTTTGACTTCTATTTACATTGAAAGCAGCTAAATGTTGGAACATCCGAAAGACACATTGCTTTATGGGCTTTAAGATCCTTTATTTTATTATTATTGTTATTTTTTTTTTGGTTTTAAATTTTGGGTTCATTGTAGTAGACTGTCCTTTGGCTTTAGAAGAGCCTCTTTTTGAAAATAATATACGTTTTGGAGGTGAAAGTATGTTGCCCTTTTGCAGATTCATATTTTGTCGGGCAGTGCTCGGCCTGTATACTCGAACATCCATAAAGATTGAGTTTCTCCCTGAATGTGTCCCTAGCCTTCCAGATACATTCCTGCCAATGACTGCTACATGTCAAACAACAGTTCTGCAACTAGCTGATATTTTTGGTGCAACAAACAGGTTCATCAATTCAGAAGGAATAGTACTTCCTGAAAGCAGAGACTCTGAGGATTAAAATTCGTCCTCATAAGCTTCAGTTTTGTGCCAAAAGAATGTAGATCATCATAAACCCATGGTTCTTATTTATTTTCTTCTATTCTTAAAATCCCTCCTCCAATCTGTAGCAGATCAATGAACAATGCTACTTGTTTTCAGGAGCAAGGGGGGGGGGGGGAAAGAAGAAGAAGCTTGGAATGGCTTGTTTTGAGTGGCTGGGATGGTTTGTTTAACTTGTATGACTTGAGCCCTGTTTGATTTCTAGCTGAGTGCTTGTATAAGGTTGATTCAGCTGGATCAAGTTCAAGAATATATGTAACTAGGGGGTGCATTTTTATGATTTGGAAAAGATGAATTTGGCAATTTGAACTTGCTAAGGTATTGATTTTATGTAAAAGGAAGTTTTTGACAATGTTTAAAGCATATGTTAGTGTAAAAATGGAATACATTTTGTGGTTCAATATTTTGTAGGGCCCGAACTTGGATTCAAGCAAGTCAAAAGCTTGATAATTTTGCTTCTTATAGTTCTTGTTACTTGGTTAAGATTTGCTTTCTTTCTTTCTTTCTTTTCTTTTCTGCTTCGTTTTTTACGCAACTTCAATTTGGATTTTAGTCCGGAGCAACGAAGAATAGTTGGCGTAAAAATTTAAGCAAATGCGCACCACAAGATAAATAAGGGAGATCATGGTGATATTTTCATTATTTTAAATACGTCAAATTTCTATTTACACGTAACAAGAATTATGAGGGCTTTTTTCTTTTTGTTTTTTGTAATGCTTGTTAGGGATTCTGTTTTTTTTTTTTTTTAATTTTGAATTTTTTGATGTAGGGGTGTAAATGAACTTAATTAAGTTGAATATTCTAGTTGAAACTTATTTGATTATTTTAACGAATATGAAATTTTGTTCAAATTTGACTTATTTATTTGTCAAATCAAGTTCGAGAGAGTTATTTTTTTAATCGAATTTGAATAATGTTATCAAATATAAAACATTATTCAAATTTGGTTTGATTAGTTAACGAACTAAATTTGAACGAGTTTTTATCAAGTCGAGTTCAATTCGAGTATCAAATAATTTGATTCATTTTTTAACTATATTTTAATGCGCCAAGTGAAATTTTGAAAAGTTGATTTTTTTACGGAATTGATTTTCCAGCATTTGAGGACTCAATTCCATATTAAGAATAAAAACAACTAGTACGGTTTGGCTGACATGTGCTCTTGTTAAAGGGTTTGGGAAAAATTTACCTCAGACGAATAAAAAGTCTCAATTTGGAAATAGTAACCAAAATGAAATCACTTTTTTTTTTTGAAGGAAAAAGTGAAATTACTCAAATAATGTTAATGAGAAATAAATGCTACTAGGAAATATTCTCTAGTAGCAAATAGGGAGTAAACAACGACAGGAAACGACGTCGCAAACAAATCCATCTCCGCAAAGCTATCCTGAAAGGAAAGGAAAACAGAAATGGACTAATCAGCATGGCTCCATCTTTCTTCCCTCCGCCATTTCTCTCCGACTCCTAAGCAGCAGTTATCAAGCTCCTCAGGTGAATACATCTTCTCTATCTCTAGTAGTCTTTCTGTACTTGACCACAATATCTAACTGCAAATTTAGCTGTAAATCCACGTACCCGAACATTGGGAATGCACAAAAGAAATCAACTAGCGTTTGTATAGTGTGAATTAAGTAAGGTAGTTGAAGATGCCTGCCAACTGTTTGAAGCAATTACTGGCTTAAATATCTCATTATGTTTCGATTTTGATGTGACCCTTGTGGGTTTTGAGGTAGTTTTTTACTGTGCCAATTCGAGATTATGTTATTCAATGGTTGTAAATGATGAATATGAGATTCTACCAGCAATATTTGATGGAAAATTAGAAGTTTGTTAATACATTCTCTATCTTCATGGAATTGAAATGGTAGAACCAAGAGCTTTTACAAAAGATTAGTAAGTGGAAGAGCGCATCATTCTCTATTTAAGTGCACAAAAGATAACAGTTCGAGGAGGAATTCTTCTGAAGTTTGGCTGATAATTGATACACAAGGTGAACTTTTCCGGGAGGAAGTAGGTTGATGTGCTTAGATTGTTCTTCTTTCTTTGGTTTCATATTGCTCTTCTAGGACTTCACAAGGCAAGCTGGTGCAAGAAAAGAAAAGAAAATAAAAGGAGGGAAATTACAGTAAGAGTTGTCAGAAATCCAACTCTAGTAGAGTAGAGAAGTAACAAAAAAATTCCAGAAAATTCTTTGAGTTTCTCTTTTTTAAGCCTCTGACTTTTTTTCAGTAAAAAATCTGTATTCGTAGGCTGTATAGTCGAAATGCATTGCGACAAACATGACATTTCAAGGTAACTTCTGTAATTGATTGACGTACCTCTTTACTTGCAATGAATAAACCGATAGTACAAAAATTTCTGAAATTAACTAAAAACACCAACATGCGCTAGTGCCTATAATTGTTTGTCACTTCTTAACTTGTTCCATTTATTTCAAGTGTATCTTACATGATTTTTCCTGAGTTCTAATCTGTTAGGCACTAATTCCGGGTTTTATCTCAACAAGGGAAATTGCTTGCTGCAGAAATTGACTCCTCAGCTAGTCCAGCGTTTACTTAGTCTTACATAGAATGGATATCTTAGATGCTTGCACCAGTAATGACCCTCCAGCATTCAGGTTTAATTGTTTCTCTGACAACTTGAATCTTGTGAAAGCTAAGCTTTGGGGGCGCAGCTAGTAAATCATGTCTTCAACTTCCCTTTTTACCGCTCCACCAACACTTACACCGACCAAAACAACCATCAAGAAAAATTATTCTCCACCATCTCCTGATAACCTTGCATTTTTTATCGACAAATCAAAAACCATCAATCACATTCGACAAATTCATGCATTCCTCATGCGTCATGGCTTTGAAAATTACCCTGTCTTGAATTTCAAGCTCCAGCGCTCTTACTCTTCTTTTGGCTATCTTCAACAGACAGTTACACTTTTCAAGAAATCTCACAATCCCAATGTTTTCTTTTACACTACCATCATTCATAGCCATGCCATGAATAATCTTCATAATGAAGCTTTGGTTTACTACGTTCAAATGCTCATGGAAAACGTTGAACCCAATGCATTTACGTTCTCGGCTATCCTTAAAGCTTGCCCTTTTGATCTTGGGCGAGCTCTTCATTGCCAAGCCCTCAAGTTCAGATTTGACTGTGATACATATGTGAGAACTGCACTTGTGGATATTTATGCAAGAAGTGGTGATGTGGTGTCTGCCCGTCAATTGTTTGACACAATGCCTGAAAGAAGTTTGGTTTCATTGACGGCAATGATTACTGGGTATGCAAAGAGTGGGGATGTTGATGAGGCGAGAGCTTTGTTCAATGAGATGGATGACAGGGATGTAGTCTGCTGGAATGTGATGATTGATGGGTATACTCAGCATGGAAGGCCAAATGAAGCTCTAGTACTTTTTAGGCAGATGTTATCGGCAAAGGTGAAGCCTAATGAAGTGACTATGCTTGCAATTCTTTCTGCATGTGGGCAATTGGGGTCTTTGGAGTCAGCCCTGTGGGTTCATGCTTACCTGAAGAATAATGGCATTAAAATAAATGTCCATGTTGGTACTGCTTTGGTTGATATGTACAGCAAATGTGGAAGTTTGGAGGATGCTAGGGCAGTGTTTGATGGAATGATCTTGAAGGATGTTGTTGCATGGAATTCCATGATTCTGGGATATGCAATGCATGGGCTTAGCCGAGAAGCATTAGAGTTGTTTAATGAGATGCGTCGAATGTGTGTTGAACCAACTGATATAACATTTCTTGGTATTTTAAATGCTTGTGCTAATGCTGGACTGATCTCTGAAGGTTGGGCCTTTTTCAATTTAATGAAAGATGAATATGGGTTTCAGCCTAAGGTTGAGCATTATGGATGTATGGTAAATCTTCTTGGCCGTGCTGGGCACTTGGAAGATGCATATCAGCTCATTAAGAACATGAAGATTGACCCGGATCCTGTTTTATGGGGAACTCTACTTGCTGCATGTAGACTTCATGGAAACCTGAATTTGGCAGAGGTTATTGCGGGATCTCTTGTGGAGCATAAAATTGCAAATTCAGGAACTTTTGTTCTTCTTTCTAATATATATGCAGCTACTGGCAATTGGGACGGGGTTGCAAGAGTAAGGTCAATGATGAAGCAAAGTGGGGTCCAAAAGGAGCCAGGTTGCAGTTCAATTGAGGTGGACAACAAGGTACATGAATTTCTTTCTGGTGACTGGAAACACCCGAATAGTAAAGAGATTTACATGATGTTAGAGGAGATGAATCGACGGCTAAAAGCTCATGGATATGTACCTAAGATAGACACAGTGTTACATGATATTGGAGACACTGAGAAAGAGCGATCGCTTGAAGTTCATAGTGAAAAGCTTGCAATTGCCTTTGGACTTATAAGTACCAGTCAGGGAACTACTATTAAGATTGTCAAGAACCTAAGGGTATGTCTAGATTGTCATACTGTTACTAAGCTCATCTCAAAAATTACAGGACGCAAAATAATTGTGAGGGATCGAAACCGATTTCACCATTTTGTGGATGGTTCTTGCTCTTGCGGTGATTACTGGTGAATGATACACATAGAGAAACCTTTGTATTCATTTGCTATCAAAACTGTACATTATAATGTACACCGACTAAGTTGAAATGGAAGTTTCTGTTGGTCAGTCATTGAAGTTGCTTCGGTATTGTGTTCGACATTGAAAATACATCGTAAACAATTGTAAATGGAATTCTCTGTTTCGTTTAGAAAATACATTGTAAAATTTTAAATGGAAGTCTCTGTTTCGTTTAAGGTCATAGTACATATGTAATTGAGACGTATACCATTAGTAAAATTAGTCTAACGCCATGAAAACGGGAGAAGGGTTTCCAGTTTCGTATGTGTTGTATTGTATTCAATTTGTGATAATGTACTGTATTCTTCAGCAAATGCATGCCATGGTAAGGAGGGAGAAGGGTTCTTCAGTTTCACATCAGTTGCATTCAACTTAATTTGTGGTGATCTTGCTTTATGCTTCGGCATATGCATGTGATCTCGGAGAAAAGAAATTTCCAGGCAAATAGGGGATATAGGTTGTTCCCCCGTCTTTGTACCGGTCTGAGTTTAGTTCCTTATGTATCCCAGTTGACATAATTAGTTCATTGTCTACTCAATTTGTTCCAGTAAGGAAAATTAAGATTCTTCTTCAGGTATTCTTTTTCGCCAGACGAAGTGCACCAAGTATCAGGTTAGTCATGTGTTTCTCAAAAAGAGGTATAGCAGTGATAACCGTGGCTGCATTTAAGGGACTCATTGTTGGAAACTTCTATGCAAAATATATATGCTCTCTCAACAGGTACAATAGAGGGAAATTACAGTGTTAGATCAAATTATTTTCACAAATTTTATGGGTTATCATTGTAACAGCTATTTTTCTCTTTTCACATTCATGGAGTTGCCCTATAGCACGGTGTCTTGATCCTTTTTCCCCTTTCTGGCTTTCCCTTAATGGAGGAGTGGCTTGGAGCTCACCTATCTCATTTCATGTGAGAACTTCCACAGAGTCTTGTCTCTAATTGTCCCTTTGAATCTGTTGAGCTCCTTCAACCAGTACAGCTTTTGCTCATTAATTACGTTCTTTTCTTGTCTCTCTGTAGCCAAGTCACACATAAACTTCGAAACATATATAGTAGGGTAAAATACAAAAAACCTCCTTGTGGTTTGGCTATTTGACACGCTACCTCCTCATTATTTAAAAACACCCACACTATCCCCTCGTGCTTTGGATTAGAGTGAAATTTAACCGGTAACCTGTATGCTACCTGAAAGTGACGTATTATTATTTTTTTAATATTTTTTATTTTATTGTCATTTTTTCTTTCAATTTTGGTGCTTTGACTTAACTATCATAGGTATCTTTACAAATTTTATAAGAGAAATCTTGCTCCTTCCTTTTTTTTTTCCTTCAGTTTTCATTTTTTCTATTTTGCTTTTCCCTTCCATTTTCCTTTCCTTTTCTTCCTTTACTCGATCCAAAATCTTCATCGCCAAAATCTACCATAGCATCTCACAGAATCTAGGTGGATCTTGCTACCCAAAGAATCCCAAAAATCTGGGCACTTCCACTGTCAATTCAGTCTGGCTTGATCCGATAAATCAATTCATCTTCATCCAATTTTATCAGGGGTTCGTAAACCTTGATCTCCATCATTCACGCAACTCTCTAGCATTGTTGAATTCGGAACTTCGTTACAATGGCTAACAAAGTGGCAGCGGCAATTTATGTCTCTTGGGTTGTCTATTTATGTCTCTTGGGTTGGTGAAAGTTTCGTGGTAGGTGATGGTGGTAGTAATGGCTAACAAAGTGGCAACGGCAATGGCAGCAATAGCGGCGAAAGGAAAAAGAAGAAAAGAATTACGCAGCGCGGCAATAGCAGCGCCCCATTACCCGAATTACGCAGATTAAGGTCGTAGGACATACTCTCAAAAGTTGGGTCAGACGGGCCAGATTCAACAACTTCAAATTGGAGCATCGATTGCTCTTGAGCATCAGATTGGAGTGGGAGCTCGAGGTTTTTCATCTTCCTAGTCGGCCTCCATTTGTTAGGCTTAGGAGAAATTACCCGATTATCCCTATTTTTTACGGTTGGGGCCTTGGAGGAGTCGAATTCGGTAACGAATTCGTTTGACTCTCTGCTGTCGGTGGCGGCGGCAGAGGGTTTTTCGAGGGTCGAATTTTGGGGCTTTGAGGAGAGGGAGAAAGAGAGCTTCATCTTAGCAAAGAATTGAAAGAAGATTCTAAACTAAAATCTCCGATCTCCCAAAAACCTACAAATAAAAGGCGAGGACTACCTGCCAAATGACTCTTCAATGCAATTGATGTAGCAATTTTGCTTGCAGTTATATAGGGCCAGCAAGAACCCAACCCCAAGGCTAGCAAGAAGCCAAAGAAGAGGTCGTCACCTCCTGAGTGTCACCAAGAACCGTTGTTGGATCGATTGAGAGGAGCCGATCCAACGGCGGCGGACCCCGTTATCGCACTGGTAGGGTGTCTCCGGCGATAGAGCTGCCGTCTCTGAAGGTTTCAGCATGTGGGTTTTGCACTTGCAGTGCTTTTGGGAAACCACCACCTAAAAAGACTCGTCGGAGACCTCCCAAGCATGCTTCGATATTGTGAGTTGTGGAGAATGTGAAATGGAGGAAGAAGGAGAGGAAGAATAGAAAAGAAAAGACAAAAAAAGGAAAGGAAAGGAAAATAAAATAAAAAAAGAAAAAAATTAGTAATAGACAGACTACCGGTTCACAGCAGGTCAAAAAGCGTAATTCCACTCTAGTCTAAAGCACGAGGGGGTAGTGTGGGTATTTTTAAATAATGAGGAGATAGCGTGTCAATTAGTCAAACCACAATGAGGTTTTCTGTATTTTACCCTATATAGTATAAAATTCATAATCTCCTTACGTTAGATTGGAACAAAAACGCTTGGCCTCGTTCTGAGTGCTATGCTCTATTTCCTCTATTCTCTAAAGCAGCTCTTGCAAGAGTGCTTTGCACTCTAGTGGTGACTTCTTTCAGGAGTGAAAAAGCTCCCTTCTTCCTTGCTTTTATTCAAAGTCAAACGATTTTTTAGATTCTCGAGGAAGCTGGGAAAAAAGAGAGAATCTAAAGGCTTTGTTTGGATTGCATTTTTCAGAATTTTTTTTAGAAAAATTATTATAGCGATTTGATATGTGTGAGAAAAAAAGATGATTAGAAAATGTGTTTATGGAAAACGAAATAATTTTTTCCAAACAAAGCTTAAAGTTCTGGTAAAGCGATATGCATAGCAAGCCCCACCTGGGTAGATGCACGTAGGCAAGCATATCTTACATATATAAAGAGTGAATGGCTTGTGAATAGTGCCTCATGGTCTGGTTATCCTGTGATTTTTGTGAACTTGAGGGGTGTTTTGGTCATTTGGCATTGGATGGCAGTGGTTTTGTTGCCCATGGACTGATTATCCAGTAATTATGGGTAACTTTGGTGGCTTTTGTATTTGTGCTTTAGGTGTGTGTTTGGTTTCTCCAACTAAGACCGTCTGTCTTGTGCGTAATTGTCGTTGCTTCAGCTCTATTGATGAGTGGGCTGTGTGCGAAGTGGTCTGTGGGAGCAGCACAAAGCTCCCTTGTGTAGGTAATCTTGTGAGCAAGCCATCTCAAAAGTTGCACATTAGATTTGTTTCTTTCTTCAATTGAAGGCTAGGGTTTGGCGGTTTTGTAATGTGAATTCTTCACTCTTTTGCCTCGCTAATAAAAGCAACTTCCTTTTTCAATTGAAAGTTTCAGTTCCCTAATTTTGCAAGGTGAACACCTCGCTTTATTTCTGCCTTTTAGTGGTTTTGCAGGCTGAGCCCTTCACTCCATTTCCGCCTTGATCATATTTTCTTTGTTGCACTGTTATTTTCTTGTCACAAGACACGATTTGCTTGTTCTGCTCTTCATTTTTCTCCTTTTATAATTAAGGGCTGTATTTAACATAAATAATTGAGGTTACTCATTTTTGCTTGGTTATGATTGTAAGAAATATTGATAAAAGCTTAGTTTTGGTACTTTTGCAAGGTGAACTTCTTGCTCTACTTTTGCCTTGATTTTATTTTGTCTGTTGTACTACTGTTTTCTTGCTGTTTGTCAGTTGTCTCTGGCTGTTAAATTTGTTGGTTTGTAATTAGATTCTGTGTGCGAGATTGATTATAAAATATTAGCGTTAAATTTCTTGACCTGCCTTTAGAAAAGCAACTGGATTTGTTTGCCTGAATTGGAGGAAAAGCTTTTGTTCATAACTGGTGCGAAGGTAGTAGTAAATGTAGCTCTTTATTTTGGTGTGAAGGTAGCAGTAAATGTAGCTGTTATAGTTAAACGCCTAATTGCTCCTTTTTACCTGAACTCTACTTCAGTTATAGCATAAAAACTACTTTCCACAATCCTGGAGCAAAAAGAAACATGTGACAAGATGCTTGTATTCCACAGGCATTACGACTAATTTATCTGTCCAAAAGCAAGTAATAAAAAAATATAGGTGGCTTTCTTGACAGTTATTCAAACAGTATCTTGCCTAACCAAAAATGAAGAAAGCTGAAAGAACACCAATAAGAGCAATTACTTAAGATATATAGACAACAAATTAAGCATCTAGTGCTTTGTTCATCATCAACGTTATTATCTATAAGCTATGACCAGTATGCCAAATTGTGCTACATTTCTACTTCCCTTGGCTAGAAGCCTACTTACTCATTTCCTAGTCATTTTTCTCCTGACTATTTCACATGTACATTGATAACCACTGAGAATAGGTATTTTGGGAGGAAAACATCTAGTCACCGTATTATGAGTGACTAACTAGTATCTATAGGAGTACAAACCTAACAAACTATTTACAAGAATACCCTTACTAATTTATTATTTACAAGAATACTTATATTCTCTTAACACTTCCCTCAAGTTGGAGCATACATATCATAAGCACCCAACTTGTTACAAATGTATTTCACCCTAGAGGCCCCTAAACTCTTGGTAAACAAATCAACCAGTTGATCTACAGACGATACATGAGATGTCTTGATGACTCCATCAAGCAATTTCTCTTGAATGAAATGACAATTAACTTCAATATGTTTTGTCCTTTCATGAAACACTGGATTAGACGCAATATAAACAGCCGCTTGATTATCACACACTAAATTCATAGGCTGTTTATGCTCAAACCCAATTTCTACTAACATGCTATTCAACCAAACCAACTCACACACAGTGTGAGTCATAGCGCGGTATTCAGATTC